ATTTGTTAGGATATCTCCCACGATTGATGCCAAGAAGGATCTCGTCTAGTGTAAGAAATGACATCAAATTTTACATTTGTTTCGAGTCCATCCCTTTATTAGGAAGCAGACTCGATTAACGAAAATCAAATTGGGTGATAACATTTGAAACCATAAATATACAAAGATTAAGTCACCCCTATGGCACATGATTTTTAGTCATCTAACAAGTTCTTAGTGTGACAAAGTTATATCGCATGAGGTTAGTCCATGGAGTGTTGTGACTACTAAATTTTCGACGCAATAAAAATGACCCAAATTGACAACCAATACACCCATTTTTCTATAAACATCAATGGGAAGGGTAGCAAATTTGAATTATTCATGTCATCGAAAATAATAATATTTCACTCGTAATAAACCTTTCCCTTCCGCATTTTATTGGAATTAGAATCTAGGAAAAATTTCATTGTCCTTGATACAACCTAAAAATTGGCATGCATGAGAGTGATGATATTCACATTCATGGACTTATGGTGCAATCACACTAATTTACACCTTTCTTGGACTGTTGGTTTTATAAATGTAAGGCCACCATAATAGATGCTTAAAAAATTATTAGCATTAACTCTAAGGAGTAGTTCAAATAATAATAAAGACAATGATAAATGTAGATGTCCTGAGTTTAAATTTTGACAATCATTTGAAACCAAACCATGAAATATTTATTCCTCGCGAATATCCTAATCTCAACATGAATGGCGTGCTTTTGACCAGATCGAGAAAGAGATTAGTCAAAGTACGCATAAGTTGATTCAAACAACTCTGGCCGTTAAATAAAAAAAGAAAACCCACTTGCATTCCTAACTTTAAAGTTAACACATATCATTGATGCCCAAAGCCCCAACCACATGTAAAGTTCCATTTTATTGATGATTATGAGCTTTTTGCATCTTTTTAGTGGAATCCTCAACATGTCCCTCTCTAGATCTATGACTATCCTATCAATGCACCAACACTCCATACCCTAATTGTTACCTACAACAACAAAGTTTTTATAGAAGTTAGGTACTATTTGAAACATTTTTTAAGTAATTTTTGCTATTTTTGAATACGTTAACAAAGTATATGTGAAAAAAAGTGATTAGACAAGTCGAAAGTGTTCAACATGTGCCAAATATGTACGGAATAAATGATTAATTGTTTAATATATGCAAGTAATAGTGTGTTTCACTATACAAGCCTGTTGAGTGTCTTGTAATAAAACTCCTTTTTTATAGTTTCTTACATCCCATTCTTATTACATGGTAAATACTTTTGACTTATCTAATCACTCCTTTAACCACCCATCTTCATATGTTCCCATACTTTATTTTGTAAAATTTGTGTTGTTCCCATCATATATCGAGGATCAGTTACATATAAGCATGTTCTTTACTATTTTGCTCAATGCTTTATGGTGACAATTGGGTAAATTTTAGCACAACGATCGGGTTTTCTTTTATTATAATCTGAAAATTAATGAGTTTGAATCACGAAAAGTATCTTTTTGCATATGGAATAATAAGACGGCCTATGTATACTTCATCCGGATCTCATAGTGATGAAAGTTTAGTTAGGTAATAAGTAATGTCCTTGGCTATCTACATCCATGGCAATTTTTGTGTTCTCTTTTCCTTTAGTGGAATGCACAAACTTGCATGTCCTCATCCCTACGAATGTCATGGATAAGGAGGCTACAACTGTAATTTAAATGTCAAAAGTACAAAAAAATAAATAAAGTAATTTGGTCATACGTTACACTTAGGAGAAAGTCTATTATACCGGAAAAAATTTTGTACCGTTCCACAAATTATTATTTTTCATGGCAAGATGACATCATTGAATGATAAACTCATGATCGATCGTGAGACTTCCTCAACCAATTATAACTCGATCTTTAAAAATTATAACTCGACTTTCAAAAATTGTAACATTCATGATCAATCGCAGTATTTTAGAATTGATCATGTCTTTGCAAATTATAATTTACACCTCAAAAAATTATACCTTGACTATAAATAATTATAATTTTTGATTCAATACCACCATACCCACAATAGAATAACCTTTCCTAACTCCAGACACGACTCGCAAATCTGAGGTAAATCCCATTGGATTTTAAATTAGGATTCAGGTCAATAATTAATATTTTGACATATATTTGCCTGAATATGACACATTTATGATATGACTCAATTCTACACAATTATAAATAAATTGGTATAAATTGATTAAATTTATTTAATACAATTTAGATGTAATATAAATAGGATCCATCATTATTCTCCTAATTTAACAGACCTCCTAAAAGGCCACCAGCACATAATCCTCTATAAGATTCTCTCCCCATCGCACTAAACACAGTGACACATGGCCAGAACCATGGGCAATGTGTAAGCTCCTTTGAATAGCTTGATAGAGAGAGAGATTCGAATGGCTTTCTAACTCTCTGCTACTGACCACCACCCTTCAAACCAAAATGTGTACTAGGGTCACCACCTTTCTTCTTCTTCTTCTCTTAGTCATTCCTAATGTTATTACTTCCAACCAAGAGGCCGACGTGGTCCAAAGTGCCCGATTCGGGCTGTTACAGGCCATGGACTTGGCTCGGGCCTCCTCGATGCTTCTCAAGTCGGACCATGGTTCGAGGGTTCGTGGTGTAGCTTTAGGTGACTGTGTGAAGCTTTATGAAGATGCTGAGCCACGGCTCGCACGCTTGGTTTCGAATGAGACCTTCTTCAGCAGGGATGATGCGGTTACGTGGTTGAGTGCGGCGGTGGCGAGCCACCGGAGTTGTTTGGATGGCTTGGAGGAGAAGGGGTGGTTGGTGGAAGCTCAAAAAGGTCAGAACTTGACTCTGTTGCTTAGGGAGGCTTTGGCATTTTATGGCACCAAAGATAATCCAAGGGGTAAGAGCAAGGGTAAGTTGCTTTGTCTTGTCGGATGGTGTTATTTCGAGTTCGTGCTAATATTAATCAAAATTAATTCGAACATTTTTTTTTTGTCATTGTGTCTGATAATAATACATTAGTTAAACTTGTTTATCCATCGTGTCTTTTTCAAGTTGAGACACACTTCCAAACTAGAAATACATAACTCGACCTACTTTTTTCCGTTCCTGTTAAGACACGTTCGAACTAGAAACACATAGCTTGACCTACTTTTTCCCAACTAAACCCCGCCACCCAAAATCTTTTCATAAACTAAAACTCCATTCCAACCATATACTTGAAAAACTAAGTAAAATATCATTTAATTCCAATAATTCATATATAACACAAGGTGAAGACATGGAGAAAATGAAAGAAATCAATAATTTTTTTGATACAATATTAGTGACATGATATATCTCATGTCAAAACTCATTATTTATTTTTGATAGTAATCTAACATATTTAAAATAAAATATCGGTTTTAAAATTGCAAAATCGATTATATAGTTAAACCTCTATTAGCAAACCCTAGGAAGAGTCTTATTTTTTTGTTCAATGATTAGTAGTGTCTTGACCAACTTATGCATATTTCGACTAATCATCTCTCTGGTTTGATCAAATACAAGTCATCCACAACGAGACCAAGGTATTTATGAAGGATAAATTTTTCATAGTCTAACCCCAAGGAGTTGTCTAAATTCGAACTCATGACATTTAGGTTTATAACTCGTTCATATTATCACTTTAGTTACTTTGGGATTATGAGAGTCTCATTTTGAACTCTTAATCAAACTAACTTCATATCTCCATCCTTTTAATGTTTTTTTAGGAGCACAAAGGCGACCAAAGTCCAACCCAAATGGGACTCTTCTAGCATCATGGAACGCAGCAACCTCCAAGGCTAATTTTGTAGTAGCTCAAGATGGTTCTGGCAACTACAAGACCATAAATGAAGCAATTTCAGCAGTTTCTAGAATGGGTAAAAGTAGGCCAGAGAGAGTGATTGTATATGTGAAATATGGGGTTTACATTGAGAAAGTGGAGATTGGGAGGGGAATGAAGAACTTGATGTTTGTGGGTGATGGTATGGGAAAGACAGTCATCACTGGTAACAGAAACGTCCAAGATGGTGCCAGCACTTTCAGCTCAACCACATTTGGTAAGGATGGTTCATCTCAAATTCTCATTTACTTCTCTACTCTTCTTCCTTTGATTATTTTGAGTGTAACTAGAGTGTGAGTGCTTAAATCGTGTAATTTCGAGTTTGTATCAAGTACTAGTCTATCTTGATTCGATTAGTTTGATTAGAGGTAGCATATGTCCTAACACTAACTTGTCATGTTTATTCATGTTCGGAATAACAAATATTACCCATGAACTGAAACTTACTATTACAGCTCTATTTTTTCTCAACCAAATCTACCCCATGTAGGATCTCTTAAAGTGAAAATCCACTCGGTTCTACCAAAACAAGAATTGAGAACAATAAAAAATAAAATATTTTCTTTATCTAAGGTTAAAGAAATGCGTTTTTTATGTTAGAATCGAGTTATTCTCATTTAACACCAACTCAACCCTATGAATTGTGTCATTTTTAGATTCATGTCTATAATTATTTAACTCTTAACTCTTCAATTTCATGTTGGGTTGATGTCATCTTATCAAAAATTAACATCCTTAAGTGAAATTCAATGAGAAGAACTAAGTCGTCCTCCATATTATACCTTTGTTACAACAGGCCTTCTGAAACAAACTAACAAAAAACATCAATTAAAATAAAACTCAATGACGAACGTGAGGATTCCCCACTTTACTTTTCTATTTATTTCATGCTTTTAGTGGTGAGTCACCACCTTGCTATTGCTTTGACTTTCTTCCACTTCTGAAGGCTTGACTCTATGTCCTCCTCCCTTGTACTTTTTTCTTTTTAGTTATATATACAGGTAGAGGTCCTGTCAAACCCTCCACCTACACTAGGTGGCTTTGACAAAAAAAAAATACCAGATAGCTCTGTTGCATTTATGTTTACAATAGTTTTCTTCTTGCAGGAGTGTCTGGTGATGGCTTTTGGGCAAGGGACATAACATTTCAGAACACTGCAGGACCCCATAAACATCAGGCAGTGGCAGTTATGGTGGCTTCTGACCTCTCGGTCTTTTATCGCTGCAGCTTCGAAGGATACCAAGACACTCTCTTAGTGCACTCACTACGACAATTCTATAGAGACTGTCACATACATGGTACTGTAGATTTTATATTTGGTGACGCCACAGTGGTATTTCAGAACTGTGACATTCTCATAAAAAGGCCAATGGACCACCAATCCAACATGATCACTGCACAGGGAAGAGTTGATCCAAATGAGAATACTGGGATTTCAATTGTCAACTCTCGGGTCACACCTGCCCCGGATTTTGCTTTTGTTAAAGGCGCAATCAAGAGTTATTTAGGGCGACCATGGAAAAAATACTCGAGGACAGTTTTTTTCAAGACAGAAATGGATGGATTGATTGATCCAAAAGGGTGGACTGAATGGAGTGGCAACTTTGCTCTTTCAACACTATATTATGCAGAGTATATGAACTCTGGTACTGGAGCTTCAACCACCCGAAGGGTGAGATGGCCTGGTTTTCATGTGTTGAATGATCCTCAACAAGCTAGCCCATTTTCAGTGAGGAATTTCATTCAGGGGGAGTCGTGGATTTCGGCGACCGGAGTGCCATTTTGGCCTGACATTTAGGTCTCTGATTGTTCTTTATGTTGTGGAAAAGGGTCTTCTTATAAATCATTTTGTTGTGCACTCAACTAGAATAAGCAACCTGTTTGTATAATTTATCAAGATGGTGTACAAAATGGTGGACACCATGGAGAGGGTTTGTGTCCCATTCTGGGTTCTTAAATCGGTCAACAAAGATAAAGAATAAAAAAAATTATATAATAAATTACAATACAATTCAAATCTTAAAAATAAATAAAATAATTTTGTTTTTCGTAGTTAAAATCTCTTAAAATTTTACTTTAAAATTAATCCGATGACTAATATTAACATCCTAAAATTAATAGGAAAAATAGAGTCATATAGATGTGTTTGAGATGATTTTTCAAATGGAACTTATACTTCTCATAAGTATTTAAAAAAAAATGTTTAGAACCGCCCTAATACCACCATCACCCCCACTACAACCACCACCACCACCACCACCACAACTACCTCTACCACCACCACCATCCCCATTACTACCACCATCACCACGGCCACCCCACGATCACCATTGCCACTATCGTCATCCCTATCACTACCATCACCACCACTTCCATTGCCCCAGCGCCACCCTCACCACCACCACCACCCTTGTCATATACCACCGATTGCTATCACCGTCGTCTACCGCTCTCACCCATCACTATTGTCATCTTATTATTATATTTATTGTTACTACCGCCATGATCCCACTACCTTTAACATCCACCATTAGCACCCACCATCACCCACCGTTATCCACTATAACCCCACCCACCATAACCATTACCGTTTTCCATCACACCATTGTCGCCAACCGCTACTATCATCGCTCACATTCACTACGATAGATACTTAAATTCTTTTATTTCCTCTATGTTTGTTGATGGGTCAAGCCCAAAAGTCTAACTCATGTTATAAGTCCAGTCCGAGTTTTAAAGCTCAACTCCAAGAGCTCCACCAAATCCAGCCCAATGTGATCGATTTGGTCAAACTCATCAAGCTCAAGGAGCTACATCAACAAGGAGCATGCAAGGTCATCTGAGAGTCTCCTTTACACCACCAAGGGAGCGTCCAGGAGCCTCATCGTTGCCGCTTGGAGAAAGTCAATCTTCTCTCATCCTTTGACCAAGTCTTTTGGAGAGCATCATAAAGTTCCTTGTCGTTGAGGAGAGTAAAGGTCGTCAAGCTATTTAATCACTATTAAAGTCACCCCAAATCCGTTACAACTATTAAACGGCCCTAACCCGTCATGCCGTCAAACTAGCTATTCAATTACTACATTTAGCCACTATAAATTGTAAGCCCCATCAACACTTGGGGGGCATCTCACTCATTTTGAGCACAATTCTCTCCTTCTCTCTGAAAGCTTGTAATCTCCTGCTCTTCCATTGTACCGGAGTTAATAAAATCCTGATAACCCTTGTCATTCCTAGTGGACGTAGGTCACTTTGACCGAATCACTATAAACTTAGTCTTCTCCCTTTCTACTTTACTGCATTTTATATTACTTAATTGACAGGTGGTGTGCAAACCAACTTTTGTGCATTATCATTTGTGATTTAATTTTAGATGTGAATATAAATATGTTTATTGTTGACCAATTTTTTTACTATTTCGTGCCTTTAAACACAGACAATAAACTAGTCTATATAATAAAGTACAATATCATTCAAATATCAAAAGATAAATAAAATACTTTTCACAGTTAAGATCTTTTTAAATTTTACATTAAAATTAATCCGACGACTAATATAAATACCCTAAATTTAATAGGAAAAATAGGGCCCTAAAAGTGTTTTTGAAATGACTTTTTAAAAGTATTTCTAGAATGTATAACTTTTAATAAGTACTTTAAAAAAAATATTTGGAATAGCTCTACCACCACCATTACCACTGTTCCACCACCACCACCATAGCCACCATTGTCACCACCATTGCTATCACCCCCACCCCTACCAACCCATCACCACCAATCTCACTACCACCATCCTCATCATCACCGTCACCATCATCATCGCCACCCCAACACCACCACCACCACTACTGTTGTTACTTTACCACCACTGTCAATGTCCCACCACCACTATCGTCGCCACCCCCACCCCACCCTAGCCACCGCCATTCACCACCATCGTCATCTCATTCTTATATTTATTACTACTATTACCATCATCTCACTACCACTGTTGTCCACCGTCAGCAGTCACCACCACCCGTTGTCGCCCACCATCGAGATAGTCATTGTAATGTCCCAAAATTCACCCTGAAAAGCATTACTATTTACAAATCATCCAACCATAAGAGCGACTAAAAATAACCATTAGAACAATCAATAATTCATCCATATAATAAAGAATAAATGATAAATACCAATAAAACATTAAAACCTCTTCAACTTACAATTCAAACCAAATAGTATATAGTAATGGAATAATCAAAACTAGCTGAATTATGGTTTCATAGAAATCTCTCAAATAAAATAATTTAGACTAAGATGAAACATCTCTAAGCCTCTACTTCAGGATCCTTGTACTGATCTTCTCCATTCTCGAGGTCGACCTACTCATCTAATTCGACATCCTCCTCTCTGCCAAAATCTATAAATGTGTTGTAAGGGGTGAACAAAAGCCCGTAAAAAATTCTTCTCAAATTCAAACAAGGTTTTAAAACAATAAAAATAAAGCAAGTCTCTTTTAAAAAATAGCATATATATCGTTTTGAAAGCAAAACAATAACAATTGTAATGATCTCAAGAGGATGGAATGTAATAAATCAATGAAAGGAATAAGCATGTCTGAATTAAAACAATCAATTAATAACTCAGTAGCATTATACAATATTTTTATGTATGTTGATTATTTTTCAGGAATCTACACAACGATTCTACCTCATTCACCCACCACAAACCAAACAATCTCAATCATTCATCGTAGGGCACTTCATAAACCACTTTTGGAAGGGTGTATACTGTCTCCCACGACATTAACGAATCATTCATAATCCCTTAATCTCGAATTTACGTGAACAATAGTGGTTGCTCTCATAAACAACAATCTACTACAAGTGTTAGTCAATCATCTCACCCCTATTAGGATAGACTAACCTCTAATACTTTACGACAGTTCTCGAAGACAATTCAAGTCCGTCACACCCAAATCATACCAGAGATAAAACCACAATTTTCTCAACAATCGTAATCTTAATCAATCACAATTTTCATTAACAATTCAAGTATCACAATTGCACAATTCTCAATATACTATAGTAATAAAGGAACGAAAATATGCAAGAGATCATATCAGTAAAACCTTCACAATTTTGATATCAAAATTCTAGAATTTTACCAAAAATCATAATTTCTTAAAATAAGAACAAGTATTAGATGAAAACATGATTTAATCAAGAATAAGAATTTATAAATCAAGAACCATGTATTTTTCATAACCAAACATGTATTTAGCAAAATCAAGGTTTTTCCTTGAATCCAAACATGTATTTTGTTTAAAACTACGTTTTGATGAGAAAGAAATCAATAACTCATAAATATTTATCATATAACTATTAAGAAGATTGAAAATATACATAGATAATACCCTAAGTATCAATGAAAGAACTTGAGAAGAATCCTCTATCTTTAATTAGATGATTGAAGATAACTCTAGCGCGTTTGAATCAATCTCGAAGAGAGAATTCTCCTCATGTCTCTTCTTTTTCTTCATTTTTAAGCTTTCTAGGGTTTCCTCAGATGAACAGTTGCTGAACATAGGCCTAAGGGTCATTCCCTATGTATCTATAATGCCAAAAGTGGAGAAAACACTCAACAAAGATCGTCCAAAGTTCTGCTTGGTGCGTTCGAATGAGTGTTTCTCTCGTTCGGACGCGCCTGACTTTTTGTCTAGATTTCGGATAACATTTTGACCTAGTTAGAAACCAAATCATGAATTTTTTATGAAATAAACTTTTATAACCCTTGAAATATCATATTCTCTTGCCCCAAACACAATACTCAATGTCAGATGACATTAAGGCTATGGCGGCATCGGCTGCAATTAATTTGGCAATGGAAGCAAAGTTTCAAAAGATTGTTTTGAAAGGAGACTCTAAGGCTGTTATTGAAGCAGTGAGGCAGTGACAAATGTGGCTGTCGAACTTTGGTCATTTTGTGGATTATATGGTGTTGTGTAACCAAAAGATCAGCAGTTTTTTAGCGTCTTAGGTTCATAGAGACGAAAATTTGAGTGTCTATTGTCTTGCTAGACATCCTGCTAATAGTTCAGATTAGTATATGGAGGGAGGAATGTCTACTTTCTTGTTAACTCTCCTCCAAAATGATGTATCCTCTTCGAATTAATAAAAAAAAAGTTTTGTTTATTTAAAAAAAAAATGTTAGACGCACTATTAATCTACACATATCTCTATCTTCTCTCTCTCATATGCCTTTTTTATTTGCTCTCGGTGCACTCTAATTTTTTACAAAGTGTTTTCAGATACAATGTAATTGCTAGTGTCTTCATAAAAGAGTGAGAATGTTTTAGAAGTTTTCCTCCCCAAATCTTATTTTCTCATAATTTTGAGTTATTTAATTAACTTTTTTCAATTGAATTTCGACATGGAGTTTATGTAACCACTTCAAACTTTTTAATAATTACTAATGATTTAAATTTATCATTATCTTTATTAACTATTTTACATTTAATTTTTTTATATAATATCAATTTATTAGGTTAATAAATAATTTTCTAATAATATTAAGATGAGATGGAGCTATACGGGACGGTGGAGTGGAGTCGGAGTAAGAATGCCGAAGAAGAGACATTTCAAATTCTGTGCATCGCACGGAATGACCGATAGTTTATACATAATATCGATCCATCTAGGAAGACTCAACTGTAACATAACACAACTTATACTGGACCCGATTCGATCCATTGTTATTTGTGAGCCCAACCCAACATATATCCTCAATAAAAATGTTCTTATTTACGGAAAAAATAAAAAACAAGTTCAAAAATAGAAAACGTTAACCAATAACCATTCGCCACGTATTAACCTGTTTTGACTTTGGAATCCAACAAGACAAAGTAAACGCCGCCGCTTACCAAATAGCATGATCTTTCATTATCGTTCAGTCCTTTTCTGCGAAACCCTAGCTCTCTCGATTGCTTCACTATTTGAGACGATCGCATTCAAAGTCAAGGCATGTTCTCAGTTCGAAACGATCGATCATACATAATTTTTTCGTTGATTTTACTGCGTTATATATATGAGTAAAACTATTTTGTTACGGGATTCGTATGTTGATAGTAAATTTGGTTGATGCAGTGTAAAAAGGCAGATAGATTCGATGGCCGGTGGATCGGAGGTGGCCGAGACGTCTTTATCGTGTGCTCAATGTGGCAAGCCTGCTCGTCTTCAGTATGTAAATCGTACAATCTCGCTTCAACTTTCTTGATTCTCTTGATTATTGGACATTATTCATGTGTGTGTGTGTGTCTGTGTCCGTGCGGGTGTCTCTGTTTGTGCGGGTACGGGTGTCTTTGTTTGTAGTTTATTTCAGTATCATTGAGGAGTGAGGAGTAGGGAAATCAAGAAAATTTCTTGTGTGGATATATACACCTGCACCATAAGAAGATAACTCCAGTTTAGCCCCTTTTGATGGTGGTTCAGGAGCGATAGATTGGGAATAGACGTAACCTTCACATTATAGGCACAAAGAAATTGCCCTCTCGAATCCACAACCTTAAGTTTAATAGTGTAATATCCTGAAATGTTCAGAAGACCAACTTAGGCCACACAATTCATTTTTTCAGAAAGGATTAGTAAGGTATGCAGACTCTGCAAGGAATCCGACCATGTCACTGGGTACCACTTTGGCAGAGTGGCAAATGCAGAGGGGAATGCTTTGGCCACTTGTTTTTCCAACTTGAGCTTCCTAACTTTGGTTAACATTAGCTTTATACTCAGACTTTGTATTTGCATGGTTGATGTATGCTTCTATCAGTTAACGAGAAGACTTGGTTTGGACTATTCTTTTATATTCTTGTGTGGTGAATATTTTTCTTTGCATTTATTTGCAGGTGTCCCAAGTGTCTGGAATTAAAGCTTCCCCGTGAAAGTGCTGCTTTCTGGTTTGTAACTGTTCCACACTTCTTCTCAATTTTACTTTTTACCATTCCGTAACATAAAAGAAAGTTATGGAAGTCTTCAGATTGGAAGACATGATATCATGAAAGTGCTGCATGCAACGGAAACATGCTTGATTTATTTTGGATATTAACAGTATGTTTCACCGTTATACTGATTTATTTTTGTATGCCTTGGTGAGTTCTAAATTGCAAATACGGTTTTTTTGAGTATTTGGTTGAATTGTATCCGAATGTAGGATGAAAATTTAGATGATGTATTTCGTAGACTGTGGAAATGGAAAGTAAAACGATAGTATTGCACAAGGCACTTAGCTGAAGCATAGAAATTTAGAAAATGTAAAAATAAATATCAATTAAGCCACTCAAGAAGATATCTCCATTAACGTTTAACTTTCATACTGCTGATTTCACACACTTAACTTTAAATGAAATAATAAAAAACTAAAAACATTGCTTTTGATAGAGCTCAATCGCGAAACAAGATTCATTTAGTTGACCCCAAAAGCATTGGGACATTGCTTTGTTGAGTTGAGATGAGTTGTGTATGTTAATTCAAAAGTTTCAGAACTAAAAATTTGCCCTTATTGCTCATTTCTGATGATTTTTTTACCATTTTAAGATTGATGAGTCAACTATTACCAAAAAGAATAAAAAGGTTTGACCAATTAAAATGCGCTCAACTAAACTCTTAATTCCTAGTAATGTTTGGCTGTTAATGTATGGCTAGCTTGGTGATGAAGTTATATCTTTTATCAGCACTCAGGACTGCTTCAAGGCATCATGGAGCTCCCATAAATCAGTTCATTTGAAGGCAAAGTTGTCCTCACTTGCACCCGGTATCTCGGGAGAACTAGGTGACGATTGGTTATATTGCTTGAGGAAAGGACAAGCTCAGGCTCCAAAACTTCCCCATTTTGATTGGACAGGGTATTCCTTTTAAATATTGGTACTTGTTCCTACTCATTTATTGTATTATGGTTCTTGATATGTGATTGACATTTTGGTGGAGACTTGAGTGGGATATGTACTTTTGCTTCAGCTGTGTTAAAGAAAATTGCTTGTTTAAGATACAAGACCAGTATTTCTAACTAGCAAGGCTTATTTGCCTTACATGTACATGGTTGAAGATTGCTGGACGTGGGTTTGGTTGTTAGATTTGCCTACTTCCTAAGTTTTATTGCACAGGACACCTGTACCTGTTTCTACTACTAAATAATAAACATTTGTTGAAATGTGATTAAAAAATCTTAAAAATTTGAGAACATATAAATTATTGACTATATTTAAATTATATATTAGGTACACATTGTGTAAAAAAATTGGTGATTATTGACTATTATGAGGATGGTTTAGTCTAAAAATTCACCCAGATGACTGGACATAAGATTTACTTATCATAAAATGCTGAATTTTTTATGAATTGTATATCATTATCACTATAATTACAATAAATTATATAATGTTATATATAAAATATAATTTTTTGTAGCATGTCTCCAATGTGTCCATTTGCTACTTTTTTTAAAAATGTCGTATCTGTGTCTATACTTCTTAGCTATTGTTTTTAGTTTTCTTCTTCAATTTGATAAGTCAATTAAAAGGTACCAAAATCGAAGTTTTGTTTTTTTTTTTTGAAATTTATCCATCTTATATGCTTGATTACATGTAGATGTAATTTGTGTAGCTTCATCTATGCTTGTTTTCTTGAAAGACCAACTGCGTTTTATTTGTGCACAGGACACTAAGGCCGTATCCTATATCAAAGAAGCGTGCTGTACCTGATCATGTTGATCAACCTGACTGGGCAATTGATGTGAGTTATACTGTCCAGGGTTATTTGAATCCATGTTTCATTGACTCCAACAGGGACACAAATTGGTCCTGGAAAGGACACAAATTTAGAAAATGGTCTACATAATGTCATTTAGATATGCATAGTTTGCCATGCCTCCTGAATCTGAAGGTATCATTTTAGACGAGGACTGACTTCAAATATTTCAGTACAACACATTGATGGTCTTTTGACATATTAAAATCATATTATTCTCATTTGATCTATTGAGAAGGGTTTGAATGGACTTGAAAGATGGTAAACTATGCTCGAGAGGTCAAAGGAAACTTTTGTAGGGGCCCACAACAATACCGACATGCAAGTTGTTCATCTGATGGGTATAGGGGCAAAAGAATGATTGAACCACACAGTAGCTAGTTCCCTTCGAAGTTACCCTGGGATAGCTGGAGCTCGAGTGTGGTTTTTGTCGGTAAAGCTAATGATTGGGGCATTGGGGATGCAACCTCTTCAGTCTTTGTCAAAAGTTGAATAGCTGGAACAACACAGTTGCTTTTTTCAGCTGCTCCATGCATGTCTAGGTGCAGCTTCTGTACTTTTTAGCTGCTGTTCTATATAGGCAGCTTGAGTTGGTAATATGTTGACTATAGTTTGGTGATGCATTCAATTATCAATGTTAATGGATGTAATTAGCGTCACTATTGAGGCTTCACTTGTGTCAATATTGAATTTCATGAGATAGGTGATGATATAGCTGTCTATTACTTCTTGGTTTCTTTTGAAGTTCCTTTTATGTTGTGTGTGTTTTTTTTTTGTGGTGACAAACATTCCTTTGTGTTCAACTTTGTAGGGAATCCCAAAAATTGAGCCTATGAGTGATCTGCAGCATGTTGTTGAGGTAATCTTAGATCACAAATGATAGTGCTTCCATAGATTATTTATGTTTAAGGTGTGTAATGTTTTTATCGTTGGACGGATAGATATGATCTTATGTATGTTTTTTTTTTTCAAATTCACATCTCTTTTGAAGATTAAAACTCCGGAGCAAATTGAGAGAATGAGAGAGACTGGCCGAGTAAGTTGTCAATATAATTTTGCCTTTGATATTATGTTTGTGTGAAATGTACTTATCTTGTAAATTGTGAGCGTATATTTCATTATTGTGTAATCTAGGATCACTTTAGACATGCACTAATTATTGTATATGTACATGTATCTGCATGCTTGTGCATGGTATTCTTTAGCCAACCAGTGCTTGTTATCTGGAGGAATTTGTGCATTTCTTGCAATGCAAGCAAGCAAAGCACCAGAGTAAAGCATAAAAGTTTCTCCCATCTACACTTTATAGATCCATTGCCATCAACATATCCCCATAGGAAAACAAATCAATCAGAAACCTCAATGTGGAGATGCCAGCTAAACCCAACCATAAAAAAATAACACAGCCAAGGAGCATAAGAAACCAAGCAATATGTGAAACGTCAACTTATGAGTAATGCAAATTGCTGCAAATTGAGCGCATTTGTGATGAATGACTCTGGTAGTTCTCCACAGTTCCGCATTTTCATGGTGATTTACTTTATTATGGTCTATAGGCAATCCAAAGCTTAAAAAATTTAACAAACTTTGATCAAAGTGGCTGGATAAAAAAGGGGGGAGAGTAATTTATGTCCATTATGATACGAAGACTGATTCCACGACAAAAAAGCCTTTGGTTTCTATATATCAGTATCAAAGAACTGGCTATCAGGATTGTCATGGATCTTTGCCCTTTTAGCCATTATTTTTTCATAAGATGTGTTTCCTTCAGATAGCAAGGGAAGTTTTGGATGCGGCTGCTCGTATAATTCGACCTGGTGTGACTACTGATGAAATTGATGCCGTTGTTCATGAAGCAACAATTGCTGCCGGTATGTCGACTTTATCATTGAGCTTTGAGAAATCTGATGACCATTTTCTGCTTTGGTTCATATTTTGAAATATCTTGGGTAATATACATATTTAGTTGCTTGATATGACAAGATAAAGAAATCTACTTTGTCTTATTTGTTGGAGAATTTGCACATTTGGACATATGAAACCCCAACATTCTACTTTCTTTTTTTCCCTTTTTATTGTGGTTCCACCAGGTTTGTAATGAAAATTTTGGTTTGAATTTTGAAGAAGCAAATCAAATGGCTATTGATCTTTTAATTGCCAAGTAACAAGGACATTTATGCATCCTTGGCTTACACCTGTGTCTGTCTAGTTCTCATTAATTATTTTTTTAATAGAAAACGATTGAATATCATTAAATAAAATAGTATGTGAGGACAAGAAGTCCTTAAAAGATACATAAATAAGGAACGAAAAAGAAAGCCTAATGCTAAAACAAAACAAATAGTAATAAGAGGAGAAAAAAAAACTCAAACGACAGGATAATTCACACACTTGAGCCCGATGGTCTTTAATAAAAAATAAAGGAATCCCCGCAAAGTCCTTGGACATGGATACCCACAAAGATACCATAAATGAGATTTTATTCCATAGACCTTCCCTAGGAACCTCCTTATCCTAAAAAATCTGCCCCATTTCTTTCCAACGAAACCGATCAAAGTAAGGTCAACACCGGATATCTCCATAAAGTCTTTGCTTTAGTACAAGTACTAAAACCATCAAAATCTATACTAAGCAGCAAATTGCAGCTACCTGGGACCACCCAAGGTATCCCAGCGACACCCAAGAGGCAATTCCGCAATATTGAGACCAGGGTACGATGCATGAACAAATGATCGATGATCTCTGGTTCTTTCTTACAAAGGATACACCATTGTGGTTAAATACAATATGATAGCTTTATTTTTCAGAGCAAATCATTAGTATTTAGTTTCTTATGCACAATCAACCATGCAAAAACTTGTACCTTCAAAGGTGCATTACTTTTCCACTCAAAGGAAAAAGGTCGAAAGAAATGAAAAGATGGTTTGGTGATCAAAGTATCAAAGAAAGAATTGCAAGAAAACTTCCCCGATGGAGTAGTGATCCATTTTTCTCAATCCAAGGAATCTTGTCTCAAAACAATGTTATCAAGGATACCTAAAAGAGGAGACAATTCATCCGCTTCTATCTCTACTTATGATCAAGGATTTTAATATCGTGTCGAAACGTTCGAAACGTTTCGGATCTACAACACGCCGAAACAAAACCAGAGTTGGAAAGAAAAATTTCAATGTTTTGGTCGAAACCTTACTATTTTGGACCGTTTCGGATGAAACAGTAATGTTTCGGTCAAAACAGACATGATTTGACTGTTTTAATTCCGCAAAACAAAAAAGAAAGAGGGAGAAAGTGAGAGCCTTTCCTTAGCAAATTACTTCTCAACTGTCAACACTCAATACACATGTTCAAAAAATATTTCGTGAAGCCAAAATGGAGAGAGAATTTCCGTTCATCTCTTTCTTTAGCAAAATACACTGAGAAAAAGGGTGTGTGCAGAAATAAATTAAATGGAGAGGAGTCAGCTTAGCTCTTAGCATACGCAGATTTGAGATTCTGAGTAGATCCAAGCCACCTTCACTCCCAGATCGATCCCGGTCCAGCCTCATCCAAGTATGAATCTTCTTCCTTCTTTGCCGCTGGATCTTCGAAGTCTCAGATTTAGTGGTGTGGGTTTTTATCGATCGATTTGGTGGGTCTTGCTGTCTCTCAGATTTGGTTGGTGTGTCTTCATCGATTGATTTGGTGGGTCTCTCTCTCTCTTGATCATCTGAGAGGACTCGGTCGATGGTCATTTCCTTGACCCCCTAGATCGTGACCCCCTCTCCCTTTTTGTTGTTAGAAACAGTGTTGTGAAAAGCGAGCTAAGGTAAGCGCGTAGGCAAGAAGCGAAGTGAAGCGAGTTTTGGTCGTCTTGAACATCCAAGGCGAAGCGAGGTTAAGTAAAGCGAGAAAAAAGCGAGCTTAGGCGACAAAGCGAAGAAGCGAGCCAAGCGAGAAAACCGAACGCCTAACTGCAGTTTTTTTATTTTCTCCTCCTCCTCATTCTTTAACATTAACCAAACCCTAGCCGAGATGATGCTATATGTATATATATATATAAAATAAATTGATTCGTGTAACAGTATCATATGACAATCTTTGTTATTATGATTAGATAATGTTGAACGCTTTGTTTTGAGGTGAATGCTTTTGTTAATCAATTTGCTTGGTTAATCAAATTGATTAATTAATTTGCTATATGCTCTATTTGATTAATTAATTTGTGAGTACTTTGTTTAGTGGTGATATTAATCAATCACGGTAGAAGTTGAACCCATATTTGATAACTTTACATTTAGATGACGTGACTATGTCAATTGATTATTTTTAGAATACAATAATGTTAAATATTTAATATATTGTCTATTTAAAATATGTTTATGTTTATTATTTTGATTGCATTTAAATATTTTATATTTGTAAAGTTAAAATTTGAATATTTTGGAGTAATTAAAGTATGAAATTAAAATATTTACTTAATTTTTATGTTGTTCGTTTTGCTTTAATGAAACGCTCGATTCACTTCTCGCTTCTTGCCCAGGCTCTCAGGAGATCGGTTCGTTTCGATTCGCTTTACGCCTTAAATAACACTGGTTAGAAGCAACGACAGATCCACCTTTTTATTCTATTTAATTTTAATTAATATTAATGTCATTTTCCCCCTTTTTGTTTTTGAAAAGCAACGATAGATGTCCCCCTTTATTCTATTTTAATTTTAATTAACATTAATGTCATTTCCCCCCTCCCTTTTCCTTCATAATTATTAATAACCTCTACAATTAATAAATAGCTTAATATGGTTAACTCTCCCCTGCGCGTGGAGAGCCAGCTTTGCACATAGGTCTTGTATTAGTCTGACCCAAAGGGTTAGGATAGCTGGAATTCCATAAAAAAAAAAAAAACTTACCAAAAATTGTTGGTGCAATATTTGTAATATTAATGAAATAATATCAAAAATGTATTTGTTTGATAAAATTTAAGTGATTTCTATCGAGTTTCAAGCCTTTTTTTTCCCCGACAACTTGATGTTATCTTGTATAAATGGATGTTAACCCAATAAATGTGTTCAATTAATCAATTATTAAGTTTATCTTTATAAATAAATGAATTGCATTTGTGTTTCTACTTGTTTTTATATTTTTTCTGCATTTCCAAAATGTTTCAATTTTTGAGCTAATTAAAACGGTAGTCAGAAACGATAATTCGATCCTTGCTTATTATTAAATAGGATCTATAATTTTGGCGTCACCATGGCAAACACCTTTGCACCAAAACGATTCGACTTTGATGGTTATCGTTGTCCTTGTTATGAGTGGATGTTGCTATTACTTTTTCTAAATTTCCTTTGATTTTTAAACAATTCAATCTTGATATGTTGACGAGAATTGATTGAATTGTCAGTGAATTCAGAAGTTGACAAGTTCACACAATATCCAGATGGAAGGCTATTAGTTTTGTGTTTGGTCATCTTTGACTTCAAGGGTTTTTGATGTATGTTGTTGTATGCCACTAGAACCAACGGTTGTGTAAACTCTTTTTTTGACTTAACCATTGCAGGAGGATATCCATCTCCTCTAAACTATAATTTCTTCCCAAAGTCTTGCTGCACGTGGGTGTTTCTCCTGTGTACATTTTCTATAGATTCACTATGCATTGTTGCCTTAGTTTTAGATATTAAGGTTCTCTTTTCATGTGACAGGTCAGTCAATGAAGTAATATGCCATGGGATACCAGATGCAAGGTATAATCATGCTCTCCATCTACGTTTAAACACTGCTCAATTTATACTCAATTTTTTGGGTATAATTGTCAGTTTTATCCTGCAATTATGTTAGAAAAATTGTCTATTTTATTCCCCAAAAAAATTATTGCTTGTCATGATTATTTTAATAGTAAAACATGAAGTACTTCAAGCAATACATCACTGTTGCTCAAGTCGGTCTACTATTTGTCTGTTTCATCGACGTCTAGTTTTTAGAGAAATTGTAATGCCCAATTTTGCTTATAGAGGTTTTTAATTTTGTTTAACCGCTATAGTTGTTATAGATGCTTTTGGCCTTTTCCATATAAAGTTGAAAGCTATATAACTAGAAGAGGAGAAGGCAGGGCCAGTACATGTTGTACCCAATCGCGAAGTGAATCTTAAGATAAGGGTTCGAAAATTCCAAAAGTGTAGCTTCGGAGGGGGAAGTTGCTATAACTTTGGTTGATGAAGATCCTTATCTGAAACTTTCCATTTCCTATACTTACCCGTACACTGAAGTTGTCATAAAATGGCCACTTTTACCCTTACATTTGGTTCACAATCCTTTAGAAAACAGTTTTATGTAGGCATAGGTAAATTGCACATGTATTCTGCTGGGAAAAAAAAAAGAATCGAGAGAGAACCAGGAGAAATTTGGAAGAAACAAAGATGACAAATAAATTTAGACGCGTAATATTCTTGTCATGGGAACAAACACTATTGTAAGTTAATTGTCTGCGTGTTAATTTGATTGTAAAGTGTTGCATAAATTGAATGGGAAAACTTGAGTGAGTAATGTGTTACACTATGTATAAAGAACCAAAAGAGAAGATGTATAATAGGTAAAATAGTAAATTGGATAATCGAAGACGTGAATAAATGTAAACAATGAGTTCTTGTCAAGGGAAGCATATGTAAGAAGCTCATTGGTTTGATCTTGATAAATGAAGAATGAGAGGTTAAATATCACACTTCTATGTTAATTGTGTAAGATAAAAAAGAATCAATATGTTCCTTGAAATAAGGAGTTGAATGATCAAAGCAATGGAGTGGAAAGAGCAAAGCAAAGGAGTGGAAGAAACAATGTAAAGAATGAAGAAAATAGACATATTCTCAGTATTTTGGTTGTAGCTTTTTCCTCAGATATCTAATTAACTTGATTCTTGAGGGCTTTGACCAGAGTAGGGTTTTTCAAATTTGAATGCTTTTGTGGTAAAAATAGCTTACAAGTTGAGGGTAGTGCATAGGTCTAGCTAATCAACAAAAACAAACATAATTTTGATATTGTATCCATAACTTTCTATTCTAATTTTTGATTGACCTGATTCTTGATATTTTGGAAAAAAGTCTTCAAGATATATGACTTTATTTGAAATAATATTTTTCTAATTCACATGTTTTCAAGGTCATAAATGATTTGCAAGTTATGACCTATGATGTCCAATTTACTCCGATGTCCAATTAAGCTTCTAGGCCATTTATGACCTCAAAAACATGCGAATTAATGCTATTTCAGGAAAAGTGGTGTATCTTGAAGTCTTCATTTCAAAACATCAAGAAACGGGTCAATTGAAAATTAGAATAGAAAGTTATGGCCAAAATATTGAGACCATGTCAGTTTTTTCTAATTGACCAGATTTGTGCATCACCTTCAACTTGCAAGTTATTTTTGACTAAGAAAATATTCGAATTGGAAAAATTCTATTTTTGTCAGAAGTTGTAGATCTAGAAGTACTCTTCCAAAAAACTCAAGAATTACCTTAATTGGACATCGGAGTAAAAACTTATAACCAAAATACCGAGAATGCATCTATTTTCCTGATTCTTGATTTCTTCATTATTTACTTTGTTTTTTCCTCATCCTTGCTTTTTTTTTTCCACTCCATTGCTTTGATCATTCCACTCTTGTTTTCAAGCAACATATTTATCCTTCTTTATCTTACACAGTTATCATAGAAATCTGATACTTAACCTCTCTCGTCAAATCTACTTGCTTAAAGACCTTCACGCTGCGGTGCGAAATTTTATTTGATCGGGGGGACATGTATACTATGAAGTTGGTTAATAGCGGCTTGGCATAAATTCTGTGTTCTAGTGGAAGAAGGTGGCTAACATAACCTTGTAGTTTTTTTAACTCGAGAGTAACAATGGGCACACTTTCTTCATGCTCATTTTTTAAACTCATCGTTTGATCAGATTTCATACTATATTTTCTTTAGTATTTGGCCAGGAATTTGGAACCAATCAGGACTTATCAAAGATCATTCTCTATGGATTGTTGGTGATGGCAGAGATATTCAGTTATGGGTGAATAACTGGTTGGGTTCCTCTTTGTCTTCCCTCTGTAATATTCATCCTTTGTTGGCATCTAGATTGGTCTCTTAAGGTTTTGGCTATATTTTTGGGGGGGAATGGTAAGAATTATAATTTCCAATAGTCTGACTGCAGATCAAGGAAGTGAAATGGACTGATACCAACGGATTTGGCGTCCTTCAAAGAATGTTATTGTCGCTATATGAAGACCTTAGAAAACGAGGAGTGATTTTGGTCTCTTCATGTTTGCTTTGTCCTTTCCCTGCACCATGGAATGCATAAGCCACACCTTCTCATGCTCTTTTGCTTGAAATATTTTTGGGGTTTGATGAGCTTTATCTTCGGTAGAAATTTTGTTGTAAACTTCCTTTCTGAGCTGTTGGTACTATGGAAAAGTTGGAGCTTTAGCTCTCAACTTAAGGTGGCGGCTTTAAGTATGATAGCAAATTGTGGTTGGGCTATTTGGAAATCAAGAAATGATTGTCGGTTTGATGAAATAGCTCCTTCAATTCCTTGCACAGAGTTTAATTATCTCTCTAATGGGGGAATCTATGTTTCTTGCCTCGGGGACTATGTTTAACTTAGTTGAGGAGCTTCAAATCCTTGTGCATCTTGGTATTAATGTGTGTCCCAAGTTGTGTGCCGGTTATTAGGGAAGTCTTATGGCATAAATCTCCTCCAGAGTGGTTGAAACCTAGGACAGATGGTGCAGCAAGGGGATGCTCAGGCCTAGCAGCTTGTGGGGGTGTTTTCCACCATTCCCATGGTTTTGTTAAGGAAGCTGGTAGCCTTCCGTGCGGAGTACGTAATGCCTATTATGCTGAGCTAATGGCAGTCATCAAGGGAGTTGATATAGCTGAGTTTTGGGCGCAGTGCGACTCTCACTATGGGGGTGTTAAAACAACTATGGAGGGTTGTTTGTTTTCAAATGAAGTCTATGAAGGTTCAATTTTCGCATGTCTACAAGGATGGAAATCCAGATTTCATCATTTAACATGTTAACTGTGACATTGCTGGTTACCCTACTTTTTGATTTATTTGGATGTAATACATGCATTGCATTGTTTAACTTTTCTTTGGTCCTTACTGTTCTAGGCCATTACACCTCTCCCCCTCTCGGTTGATCATATTTTTTCTTCTTATTAATAATTTCCCTCCTTCGTGTTTGCCAAAATTTAAAAAAAAAAAAATCGTTGGCACTGCTAGTGGTTTAGATGCTAACAAGTTCTTCTAACTACGGAATTTACGTTAGGTATTGGTAATGCTTTTCTTATTGAATATGTACTGGTTATTTCAGGAAATTGGAGGATGGTGATATTGTTAATGTTGACGTGTCTGTGTATTATAAAGGTGTCCATGGTAAGGAGCATTATACCTTTATCATTGTTGCATGGCATTACGTAATACACTATGGGTATGGGTATGTTTGGTTTAAGTATTAAAGGGGTGGATTGGATTAATTTAATCCAGTAATAATATATATTTAGTTTGGATGAACTTATAGCGACCCGATATTAATTTTAATTAATCTCGAACCGGTTCCCTATTATTATTTGGCACATAATATTATGTAGTAATGAATATCATGTGCTACGTGGTATTTTTTTAACAAGTTAAATATTAAAAATAGAATGACTTTTTTATTATCCTTGCAAACTTAAAGTCACACCTTCACATAAAAGTTGCACATTATGCAAATTCTAACCCTCAATATTTGTTTTGTCATTTTTAATTTAGTAACATACACTATTATTTAATCCAAACATAAATTTGGTATTATAATCATAGATTTATATACTATCCCAACCTTTATTCAAGCTTGTTATACAAGCATAAGATTAAATAGTACTGTTGTTAACACCATTTTGTGGATTGGATGGAAACTAATTGCCCAATCCTATCCTTTATTTGTATTTGAACCAAACATGCCATGTGTAGTTAACAATTGGACGACTTGTAACTTATGCAGGTGATCTCAATGAAACATTTTTTGTGGGGAATGTTGATAAACCATCTCGACAGTTGGTTCAATGTACTTATGAGTGCTTGGAGAAAGCAATATCAATTGGTATGTGTCAATCTTGTATTTTATCACCTAATTTGTAACATATTTGGAAACTTACCATCACAACCAAACCTCTTACATTGAACACCAACCCCCCCCCCCCCCCCCTTCTTCTATTTTTCTTTCTTTTCCCCTCATTCTTCCCTCCAATAATTTCTATCTTAATTTAACGGTGTGATTAAGGGAGACATTTTAGTCTCCCTTATGGTTTGTTTGCTACACATACCATCTATTTTGAAGGGTATGGTCAAACATTTGCATATGCACTACATGAATATTTGATTTCTTGATTTCGGGTTTATAATTGCCATATTTGTTTGTATGCCAAAGTGCCTACTTAAACTAGTTTCTTTGATCCTCCTCTTATGAAAAATCATCAATAAGGATATAATGTATCCTATGTGTGAAAAGATATATCCCATGTTGATAAATTATGTAGACCAAATTTGGTTTATATACTTGAGAGACCACTCCAAGTATTTCTAATTGGTTTTGAGTTGAATGCTCTAATGTGGCATTATTGGGTTAAGTCTCTCCTCAGTTGAATTCCCTGGTTTGTTTGTCTGTGTGTTTTGGTTCAGTTCTAGTCTATTTCGGTTCCACTTGTTAACTCACATGTGAGTCCTAGTCGCCCGTGAAGAAGGGGTGTGAAAAGAGCTATCCCACACATCACAAAATTAAGTAGAACCAAAGTTGATTTATATATTTGAGGGACCCATTATCAATTAGTTTTGAGGTCGATGCTCTAACATGATATCAGAGTTAAGCCTTGAGTAGTTATTGTGTCAAGTCTCTCTCCAGTCAATTTATTTGTCTATTTCGGTTCAACTCCAGTCTGTTTCATTTCGTTTGTACTCCGCATGAGTTTGGCTTGCACTTGATATAAGGTGTGAAAACAGCTACCCCACATTGAAATTGAAGTGACCCAAGGTTGGTTTATATAACGCTCCCGAACATGTTACTTGATACCTTAAATATATCTCCTATTATTTGGGCCTCTAATTGCCTAGAGAATAAATAAAAATGATTTGCAATTATATAGTACAACAAAAATAAAAGTTGAAAATCTGCGATTCTTTGAAATCTCAACTTTAGTCCCTTTCTTTCCAATTATCCTGAAAAATATTAAAAGCGGAAAAGTATACAATATGACATAAAACAATATGCTCAATAATAAAAAAATATGAATTATCAAATATCAAAGAACTCAATCGATAGACAATTATGGACAACATAATCAACTTTGACATGCCACATAATTCAATTGTTATGAAATATAGTCTCATACTTGGTTCATCTTGACTACATGACAAGGAACACTTGGACATATAAATTCATACTCATATCGAACAATCACACCTGCTGGGGCACAATCATATTTTACAAACTATGCCCTAGGCACACTTTGTACCTATACCAATCAATCCTAAAGTATTTAACCCAAAAAACCGGTCAGCTCAACAAAAGTTTTAGAATTTCATATCAGCCGAAAACAATCAGGAAGAATACAAATTTTGAGATGATCAAAAGAACATTCTTTGTAAAGAGAATTAAAGACAGGAACATATTGTATACTATTCCTTACCTCAAATCACCAAGAGATACCAATAAATTTGATTACCATCATTTTAAGAACAACATAGACAAATTTCATAGACTTTGAGACTAAAATCACCATCTAATCTTGAACCCAAAACCTTGTTATATTTTTTCCGTCTTTCTTTTTCTCTATCTTTTTTTTTTTCCCTTTCTTCTTCCTATCTCCTTTCTTCCTTTCTTTTTACCACGGTTTGCCTATTGATTACTCACCTATTTATAGCAACACAAATAATGGCCTTACTTGGCCTCCAAGCCCCCTTGCTTACCTCATGGGCACTTGTCCATTTTCCATGGTTGTTCCTTTTTAAGCATAAAAAAAAAAAAAAATAAGACATATATCAACCCATATGTATAGCCCTTTATTCCCATCCCAATGTGACACTTGTCCAATAGCCATTCCAAATGTGACATGTTACTTTTTTCATTACATATTTGATTTGTGACATATTTTTACACACCTTACACCGTTCGGATACTTTAGATATTTATTAAATATAGTCAATATTATAGTCATTTAATTCCTTTGCATGCAAGGAACCCAAATTTGAAGTCCATTTGCTTATTTTAAATTTATAAAACATTAAGAAACTAAATTTCGTTTCAAAAAGTCTGAAACGAATCGTTGATTGAATGTTAAAATTCCTACATTTCGAGATGTCTCAAGATATTTCGTTAGGTTTCGAGGTATTTCGTCATGTTTCAACTTATATATCGACCAATATTACAAAAATAAATTTTTAAATTTTTCTTTGTTTCCATCTTATTTCTAAAACATTACCGTTTCCGTTTCAAACACACCGAAACTATGTGCCAAAACGAAATTTTGACCGTTGTAAAAAATAAACTTCGATAATATAGAATCATAGTTATCTTTCTAATTAATAACTCAAGTTATCATAGTTTATACTTGAGAGGGCACTTGACCTTTTGCCAATTGGTTTTGGGTTAGATGCTCTACTAGTATGAAATGTTATTCCTATAAAATTTAGATTCTCATTCCGTTGGTAATTGAATATTGTAACACCTAAAAGCTTTCTTAGGAAGCTGTGTAAGTTTTAATTAGTCATACCTCCAAGTCTTTCCTAGTTATTATGCTTGTCATTTGTGTCTTTTATTAGTTGATTAGTCAAACCTGCTAGTCTTTCTTAGTTATTATGTGGTTATCTCTTTCTCATTTCCCCTTATAGTGTTTTGAATGTTTGCCTGAAATATTGATGATAATTTAGAAAACCTAACTACCTAAGGTCTTGGATGACCATTGTTAAAATCAGCAATCAATACCTTGTTATCCCAGTAAGACTTGAATACGTGTTTTGGGCAGTTGAGATTATGTATCTGGGAATCTCAGTATTCCTTAGTATTCAAACCTTTGGGAAACTATTCTCACCCAATAAATCAATTAAAAGTACTCGCACCCCATTCTGGGTTGTTGATTCTTTTAGTTTTGAGTGTGATGTTACAATAGCTATATATGTATAATTTATCTCTGTGGCTGACCTGTATAAGATATTTTGAACTTTTAACTGGTCATAAATACTATTAAGTTTTTTTGCACATTTATTGGTTATTTGTGAAGACTTTCTGTATGTTAGTTTCAACCATTTTCCTTGTATGTTTCATTGTTTCTAAAATAAGGACTTTCTTCTTCTTTCATCCTGATATATAAACACCATCCACTGTTTGTTTCCAGTTAAACCTGGAGTACGATTTAGGGAAATTGGGGAAGTCATTAATCGGCATGCTTCAATGTCAGGTTTCTCCGTGGTAATCTGCAATCCTGAGTCTTGGTTGTTTGTTTTTCTTATTTATTCCAAATGAGGATATGATTGATTCTTAACTTTTCTCTCCTTTTTTGTTGAGGAAATAGGTGAGATCTTATTGTGGGCATGGTATCGGAGAGCTCTTCCATTGTGCACCAGATATTCTCCATTATGCAAGTATGCTCAAAAAACTAGCTTTCCAATCTGAATATTCTTTTTTATGTAATATCTTTCTAGGAAAAGACTGAAGAACGCAGAGTATATAGTGAGCTGACTCCAGATTTCCATGATATTATAAAGTTCGGTCTTTGCGCTCATGTCTGTATTGACCTTGACCTATGCAGGAAATAAAGCAGTTGGTGTGATGAAGGCTGGCCAGACCTTTTCCATTGAACCTATGATAAATGCAGGTAATTTGACAATGCTTGAAGACGAATAACCTACCAGTTGCGCTGTCTCAATTCCTGCTCCTTACATCTTAAAGAACCTTCATGATAGGTGTTTGGCGGGATCGAATGTGGCCTGATGGATGGACTTCCGTTACTGCAGATGGAAAACGCAGTGCTCAGTTCGAACACACACTTTTGGTAAGACTGCATTTTCACTACATAATCCTTTCTGTATCGTTTTGCTTGTGCCTCTCACTATTATTGCTATTTGGGTAAATTACCCCCCATAAATACCAAGACCCCTGCTACGTGTTTGTGTAACACTTAAGACCCCTTACTGTTAGAGCATCTGATCTTTACTTTTTTTTTAAACTCAAATTTAAATTTGGTTAAAAATCTCTAAAAACTCTCCAATTTTAAATTCACATCCATATCAATTCAAGTGGGATTTATTTTTTTTCACTCAAATCAAGGGAAATTCAAATCCATATTCAAATATTTAATTGTGAGATTTTACCCATTGTTAAAGATCCAATGGTTATATTTTACCCTCTTTTAAATTTGAATTTGTTCTCATAAATTTGGAATTTTTTTTGTTTTAAATTTGAGTTTTTTCACTGAAAAAATTTATACTAAATTAAGTTTTTTATCTTTTCGTTGTTAGAGCCTGTTTGAAGTATCATCAAAATTAAATATGGTTGGCATAATATTCTGGGTTGGCGCAATAGTATAGAAAATAAAGGTTGGGCTTTAGGTCCAAAGTTTTTAGAAGACTCCATAATCTTAGGTATATTATTAGTCCAAAAAAATTTTATTTAATTTTAAGCCCAAAAAATTAAGTTCAATCAATTTTTGTTGCAATAATTTGGGTTGATGGTCATGAAATCCGTAACATTAAAAACCTAAAATTAAAAGTTAGAAAAAAGTACTTGAAAATTAACTTATATTTATTCCAATCCATTAATTTTCTTTACATAAAAAATGTAAAAAACAAAATAGAGAGCCATCGATTATCTTACAATTTTCTCATCAAGGAACACTTTTAGAGGAGATAGTTCGTGTCTAAAAACACACCTCTCAATTCGAAGTCTAAGATTTCGAGTATGTGAGAGGACGGAAAAAAACATCTGTAATTAAATTAATGCAAATAATGCTCTGCATTTATTGGATTTCTCTGCCATTGGGCATCTTAAGAATCTGTACCGAGTCCCTTTGTATTATCACTCGTTTGCTTGCATTAATCGTGTGTAGGTGACCGAGACTGGAGTAGAAATTCTTACTGCACGCCTTCCTACATCCCCGAATGTGTTCCCCTGGCTAATTTCATAAGTTGGGGCTGTACGGCGGATGCGTCGAAATGAACCGACCCTCAGACGACAAAAATTATTGTGTGAGACTGCCATTATTAACTCTTTCATTGATTAGAAGAATAGTAATCCGTAATCTCTTAGATGATGAAATTGAACAAGAGCTTGCATGGTGTATTCTGAGCGAGCGACACAATCAGCTACCACTTGAATTAGAGGGAAAACAATGAGTTTATTTTTATCTATTTTTTTTTCCCTTTCTATAGAAAAAAGGCAATCTCTGATAGGAACGTATATGGCGGGAAAAAGAGTGTTATTTAGTTACTGTGAAGACTCAATTTTTAGTGTGATGCATTTTTCACTCCAAAAGATTTAAGAACTTTCAGTTTGCATCCTTGAAGATTAGTTTCTTAAAATTACTCCCTTAATTTATGAAGTGTTGTTACATGGTAGTCATAGCGTTGGCTTCTGGTACTCATTCTGTAAAACAGATCTCCTACAGACTTGACACAATGAATAATGGAAGCTAACAAGAAGACAACATTTAACACTTTTAATAATACATCAAGGGCAAGTCAAGTTGCTTTTTCAGTAATGTTATGCTTAACCATCCAGAGTAAGTTCACTTGCCTGTGCCGCTCTCCGGCTAGTTTTGACGGCGATTCCGTATGTATATAGCAGGCCGTTCCACTGGGCTCAAAGCTCAGACGGCTAGTTCTTTGTGTCGGATCAAATGTTAAAGCCTGCATACCACTAGAAAAAACTCGTTTTTGACAGATTTAGGTTTAAGAAAGCCAACAAAATAAATAAAAAGTATAAAAACTCGGACTCTGCAAAGTAGGTAAATCACATAACACAGGACATAAAGTGTAACATATCTACCAAGTAAATATCCAGAATAAAAAAAAAAGATACAAACAATTTTACCCCAACCAATCAAACACAAGTTTTTTTTTTACACTCCGGCAGTTGGATTATAACCAATGCTCGAGGTTTGTTGGTGAGAAAGTGTACTCTAAATGTACAACAAAAAGGTGGAGACATTCGATTCAGACAATCAGAACCCAGCTGACCCTACTAGTGAAGCATATGATGCATTTTCATCTGCAGTTTTGCGCCTCTGTTCACCATTATCGTTTGATACTCCATAGCTAGTTTTTTGAGGTTGCCTAGTTTCTAGGTCAGCTAGATCGCACAATTGTAACCTATGGTGCTTTGCTTCTTCTACATCACCTTCCCAGCAAGTTTCAGAAATAATTTCAAGTGCTTTCTCTAATTTATCCTCTGCCACAAGATGTTCATTTTCCAGGAGTACAAGGTAGACTTGTTCTGCAGAAGTCTTCCGAATCTGGGTGAGAAGAATTAAAAGAATCAAAAAACTAAGATATCCATTTTTCTTCCATATTCTTCTAATTCTTTTGTTTCAGCTGATTGGGTTAAAATCAGAGACGACAATTTATTATGTATGGCTAAACAAGTAATCTATGGGCATCTAAAATTCATCATTGAACAGAACTAATGCAAACAACAAACCTTGGGGTATCGATGGCCAAGAAAAGTGACAAGATGAGAGAAGGCCTGGATGTTGATAGGATCTGAAATTGAAGAAATGTATCCAAGGATTGCAATGCCTGAGTACAACTTAGAGAAGTCCTTTGATCCCTTCAACTCAATAACGAGAGAATCCAAAACACCACTACAGAAGATTGGAGTCTGGGCCTGAAAGTGTATTATAGAACAAGGTTAATGAAGAAGTACAAGCGTTCAAATCCATGCCCTCAAATGGATATACCAAATGATAAACACCAAATACAATGGAGTGAATTCATCATTATACACACACATAAAAGATTGTCAGTCTAGCGCCAGTAGTTGCATGATTGAAGTACGTTTGCATTGTCTATTGCTGTCTGGACCAAAAACTAGAAGTGAACTTTTCACAAAGTAAAATGAAGAAACAGAAGAGAAGCTAAACCCAAAACACGGGTAGAAAAGAAAATAAATGGTGTGGTTTCCTTTGTAGTCTAGGGCAATCGTTCAATTTGTGGTAATGAGTCTATCGACCCCGAGGTATTGAGGTGCATTGGTAGGAGCTCCGATATACGGTATCAAGCAATACACACAAATTTTATATAGAAGAAGGCGGCAAGGGCAAAAAATTCAAGTCCTATTGCAGTGTTACAGAACAACATTGAGTAATATGCTGTACGTCAATGATGATTACTCCAGCATCAATCGAGGGGTTGTCGAGTAAACCACAAGTCAAGTAAAATTCGTGGTGTATCCCGAACGTAGAACATAGAGGAACGGAAGTGCCGAGTCAAATATAACTCAGCTGAGTTGTAAAAAGCTTGGCCAATTCTGTGAACAATGCATGTGGCCCTGTCTCTGCTCCCAAACAAAACACTTTCTCCGTTTGTTTTTGGCTATTTGGTTTTCTGCAATTATTCTTATCTTTTTGGGGGTTACAAAAAATATGGTTTTGACAAGCCAAGCCCAGTGGAAGGCAAGCCGCTTTAATTAGCAAATTGATTACCAAGAATGATGGCTAGGCTCGCAACACCCAAGCCAGACACAAACACTGGTACAATTTAGCCGAGCTAAATCAAAACATATCAAAGCTCAGCTGAATTTTAGCAAATAAAACAATGAAGTGAGGAACACGTGTAGAGCCAATACAATGTAAACCTACAAATTGAGCATGTCAACAAAAAGAGACCAGTACTAACCTCCATGTTTAAGAGTATCTTTGTGCTGAAAAGAATCTCGATAGTCTGAAAAACAGAAGTACATTTGTCATAATAATAAAATTTAAAATATTATATTTGCTCTACTAAAGTCAGAAGAATATATCCAGCTAATAAGAGGAAAAGATGTACTGAGGGCTTTGACATGAAGTACCTACATAGCCCAGTATGGTAATGTCATGAACATGAAATTTTTTTTCTTCTTGAAGGGTGATGGAAGGAAAATAGTGCACGTGCTTTTTAATTCTGTGATTGAGATAGACTATTCGAAGTTAAGGGCTGGTAGAGCAGTAACCCAATGTTTGGAGTAATTTGCCCCCTTTTGGAACTCTTGCCCTTTTGGGATTAAAGGTTGAGGTGGGTTTTCTGAGAAATCTAATGTGGTCAATTTCTTTACCAAAAAGGGGTGATAATTAAAGAGTCTTTCATAGGCCAATTATCCTCCCCAAGCTGCTTCTAGGTGTATTGAGGTCCTTTTATTGCCTCCTGTACTAAGGGTTACCCAATAATTTTTGCCAAAAATCCTGAAAATTTCAAAAAAAGTACAATGAACAAATAGTTTGGACCTAAAGGCGAATATCCATGCTAAATATCAAATATTCATTTTATTCTCTCAATCCAATGTATGACATAGCCACATCTGCAGACGCAAAGAAATGGAGAAACAGTGGACTACATGTCTTTAGCCCTTGCACGTACCTTATCATAACATGCTCCACAGATAAAACTAACCATGTAAATCCTAATGTTACCAAAAAAGAACATGTCTATAGCTATTGTTAGCATTCAACTAAATTCTCATCTTGTTTGAAACTCTGCATCAAGAAGTGGCACCATACACCTAAGAGAATTTCATCAGATTCAGATGACAAACAGTGCAGTGCATGAGATTCCCCAATAATTTTGGAGAGTATCTCTTGATCTTATTTTGCTAAAGCAATAAAATACAAAGGAAAGAATAACGAAAATGGATGGAAAAGCAGTAAATAAGACAAACTTGGCCCTCCGAGGAGGAGTAGTCTGGGCAAAGACATTAATAACCTTTCTTAGCTCAGGTACAAATTCATACCGAACTCCACGGAGAAGACTATGTCAATTTGAATATCTAATTCTAATTGTGTATGTAATGTATTTTTTTCTGTTATGTACTTGAAAGATGTAGGGTTCAAGACAAATGCCTGTATAGCACTTTTTATGAAAATAAATTTTTATGATTCGTTGAACCGCAATTTTTTTGGCAGTGTTCTCTAGCTTTCTATTCTTACTTTATATTCCCCAGTAGTTCAGATTATAATGTGAAAATTGGAGGACTTTACGCCCATTCCTGGGCACTGTCATTGCAGTATTCACCATCCCTCTTTTACACCAACTTCTTTCTCTACTACATTTTCTTTGATCACATTGGATTTTGTGACTCCTTAATGACATATACACGTGTACTTCTTGTCTTCATTGTTGCACCTGGACTTAAGATATTGATTTTGGCTTAATCAGGTTAGGTATATGATGGAATTGTATTCTTTTTGGGAGTGGGTTAATTTTATTTTTTTTTTTTTTTCTGGTGTGTAGGGTATGTGCCATCTTTTGACAAATATCGGGACATATTGTAAGGAGGCCCTCTCGGATTTTCCTCCTTATAAGTTGCCTCATTTGAACGATTCTTGTAATGATCCAGAAACAATATTAGAATATGAATACATGGATCTGGAGAATTTTGTTATTGAGTAGGTTACTGAAGAAATCAAAGCAAGAGAAAAGGCCAGTGAAAGTGCCTCATTTCATAATCATGCACCCAAAGCACTTTTTGAATGCTTGAAGGTATGGTACTGGACTGCACTTTTGTGACATATCTATAGATGTTGAGATTTCTAATGGTCGCTACTGCTTTCCTCATTGTGGAAGTTTCTTGTCAATAGTAATAGGCGAGTGATGTGTTAACTTTTGTACTGGAGGGCTCTCAGTAATGTATTAAATAAAAACATATAGACATGTTTGATACTCCCACAAATGATTTTTTTCGGGAAAGTATGACAAACATAATGATATGCATTTTCATGAACTAAAAGCAAAATGACAAGAAAGTTTGCAGTACAACTATGGGGTGTTCTCTAGGACTTGATAACTACTTTTTGTCCTTTAGGTTATATATATTGATGCTTTACTTCTCTGGATAAGTATAGACAACTATGTTTAATCGTCTAGTGAAATATTAATAATCAGAAATCCGGTGGCAAGAACTTCTAAATTAGGATTACCTTCAAAGTGGGTGTAATCACTCTGTCACATCTTTTGTACTTTTGCAGAACCCAAAGGATGTCTGTACCCAGATTCAATTCTCTGGAATTCCTTTCCTCTCGGCCTTCAGTTGCCACGGCTTGAAGATACTCCAACAAAGCACTGAGTGAGGCCTTTCTTAGAGAATCTTGTAACCCACCAATAGAAATAACTAAGCCAGACATCACAGATTTACTGAAACAACTATGCTGAAGTAACTGAACAAAACGAGGATAGGAGACATTGGGAACCTGCAGGCAAAAGAATAAAGGCTTCCTCATCAATAAACTGCATCATGTTTCAATCAAAATTTGAAATGATCAATCTAAACTCACCCCCCACTTTAAATCTGCGTCATTTGGAACAAATTTTTCTAATTCCTCCCTATGAGGAATGAATGGGACAAAAATTGTTTTGCTATGTAGTATCCTTTGAAGAACATTTGCTGCAAATTCTCTTAGTTTATCCATCTTCTCTACAGCTTGCTTAACAATACCTCCAACTAAAGAAGTTGCCAGGTTTGAATCAAAAAAGGATTGCATCTCGATATTCTCAACCATGCCATTCTTACAAGGCTCTGAAACAGATTCAACTGCTACTTTACTTGGAACACCCATGGAATCTCTCCTACAAAGGATATAGGTACATCTTTCAAGGCCATCCATAGCAGCCTCACGAACCCAAGAACCAACATCACCTCTGTTATCTACGGAGTAATCATCCAGAGCTTTATATAAACTCTGCATCACTTCATTCTTAATGAAAAGAAAAAGGGACATGCCATTCTCCCCACAAAGAAATTCTCTTGTCTCAGTCAAGGTTTCACAAACGGATATGAGTCCTTTGACAGCATTCACCCGTGCTTCAGCATCCCTGTCCTCTGGCTTATCCTGCAGACAATATGATGTTATGCCATACAACTTATTCTTCCATTAGTCCTCACAAAGAAACAAACTGGGAGTTTCAGTGAGAAAAGGAACAAAGGTATTTATATACCTCAATTGCACATGAACTACAAAGCTTTGACAACACAAGCTTCCATTCTTTAGCCAGAAACTCAAAAGGCAAAACACCTAGTGCCAATGCGGATCCCCTTCTAGCAGCCACATTAGAATCAGTCAACTGTTCCACAAATTTCTTCACGATATCATTAGTATCATTATTATCTGTGGTTAAAAGGTATGCTTGAAAGTGTTTCAAGGCTTCAACAGCAGCATTCTGCACATCACAAGGAAAAAGATATTCAGGAAACTGTGAGATTGTAAAGAAAAACCAGAAGCTATGAAATAATTCACAAGGTAAAAAGGAAACACCTGTATATGAGAATTAGGATGTTTCAAATTTTCAGTAAGGGTGACAAGCAAACTTCGTTTTATTTTTTCTGGCATTTGTACACGAGCTAGAGAGATACACTCAATGAAGCGGGAAGCAGCAGCACGCATTATCTCTCCACCTTTTCCCCGGTATAACCGTGCTTTCTCAATGGCAGGAACTATACCAGCAACCTGTCTCTGCCTGTCTGTAAGGGAAAATCAGGAGAAAAACACAACTCAAACCATGCGTGAACAAGCTAAAAACTAGGGTTTGTAACTCGCCTTAGATTAGGAACTAAGAATCACCTTAAATCAATGTTGTTGGGCTATAAAGTAGATAAACAAGACAAAAAAAGTGCATGAAACTTTCCCTTATATCGTTAATATGCAGCATTGCCGCAAATAATTACACAATTAAAAGGCTGCTTAGATGACTTAGCTCCAAGTCATGTAAATCATGGCACTGATCCAACGATATCTGACACAACCTCAGAAAACAAGCCAGATATTTTCTTTTCAGTCATAAAAGTGAGAGATGTGTTGGCAAAATACTCTAGCAGATATATGGGTGCACTGATTATTCTCCATCAACTTCTCCATTAAGTAGGCTATTTATGTATACAGCTTTTTGAAACAAATTTAATCATAACAAGAAGACAGATCAAAAGCACATTGACAATAAACATGAAATTCAGGCAAACACCACCTAGACCTTCTTAACCCTAAATGTAAATAAGCCTTATCCTGAAACTCGTGAACTATGGGAACTAGTAGTCTCGGTCACACTTGCCAGCTTTGAATGGCCAAGATGAACTATAACGACTAATACTTTGATACTCCAAATAATCATCACAAAACGACCATCATATATTTTTAAGTGTAAACCTAACCTCCAGATCATTTGCACCAATTGGTGGAGGGGCAGAACATTACATTGTAAGAATGAGATCAAGCGCAAACCCTTTCTAAAGGATCTCACTTGAAATTCAAATGAGAAATTCGGAGTTAAAAGTTTGTCAAAATATTAATTCTGCAATCCGAAAAATATTTGCCTATATTCTCATCTGAATTAATAATTTAGTGTATAAAACAAAATTAGATCCACAAAGGTAGCATACAAAACAAAATCAGATAACACAACCAGTAATGGCTGCTACATATCGACCAATATATATATATATATATATACCTCTGTCATAGTATGTACGGAGGTGGAATTCATTAAATGATCATTTCTGGCCTTATAACTACCTATCACTATAAATAAAATTTTAAAGAATAAGTCAAGCAGAAAAAAGTTTAGAAACCAATGGAGAGAAAACCCACAAGGTTTAAAATTTTTGAGGTAAAAAATTGTTCAACTTTCTATGGCGCGTAGATATATAATAATGAAAAAATGAATCCTGACCACTGAAATTAAGACAACAACATTGTAACTTTTTAGAGTGTACTCATTGGTTCAATTACATTGGATCCATTGTACTTGTAGCATATCAAGATTGCCATAAAAAAAACAATTCTAATGCTTTGAACACTGAAAGAACATGAATAAATGTAATAGGTCTGGGGGTTCCCAGAATTAATTGGATGCCACTGAAACTCATTGAAATAATGGAAGAATATTTGGGTGAAATACGCATGAGCGCAGACAGTCCTGGGTCCCGTAGTCAACAAGTTTAAAATGCAAACATTAATCAGGACATCACCAGAGGACATAAAGCTCAAGTGGTACGTGAAAGGTTTTATGCTTACTATAAGGCAGTTTAATTCAACCCCCAAAATGTTCGCTTTTTAGGTGATTACCAGAAGGTCCCAAACTAAAATCAAATTGTAGACAAGATAACTAAGGGGATCTTTCAAACTGAAATAGATTATTGCACCAAACTACAAGATCACCAAAATGTTCCAAATCCGTTTATTTCATAGATAAGTATCCTAGTAAATTGAAGGAATAACAGAAATCTTTTTTTTTTTCATTTTAGGAATTCAAGACATTAAATTCATTTCATTTCATTGATAAGTATCCTAGTAAATTGAAGGTAGTACAGAAATAATTTTTTTTTTTTGGGGGGGGGGAGTTCATTTTAGGAATTCAAGCCGTTAAATTCATTTCATTTCAACTGAAATGCATAAAAAATAGTCCAACAAAAAAAACAACACGAAATTAACAGGGGATGCCACTCACATATACCATCACATAGTGTCAATGGATTTCAACCAAAGTTACTTCATTTAGAAAATTATTGAGTGCATTTCAACAAAAGCCAAATGACAACTAGTATGAATCTAAAAATATCAGATCGTTCTATATGAATAAAAAATTTATAAAATAAAATGACCTGTTTATTTTAGGTTTACTAGAACCGAGTTTAGATGTGTTGTTGATCAATAGATCACCTGTTGAATACCTATACCTAAAATAAAAATCATCATGCCATTACACTTGGAGTTGCAAGTCAAATCACATAGTTCAATGTTATGACAGATTAGGTGATCTCAAGTAGTTCGGAGAGAATGCTTTGAGATGAGTTGAGTAAGTTATGACCAATTGCTAGGTCTTGCACTAAGGTACATCAACAAAATCAATTATCAATCTAAGCGAAAAAAAACACAGCCTAAAAAGTGACAGTGATTATCAGTTGTGCAAATGTAATAAAGAACCCATTGAAATCACAAAATGTAACAGGTTGAACTGTGATTCAGTCAACTGAGCAGATTTTGAAATAGCAGGCAGATACTAACCTGAGGAAAGAGCATAGTCACACTGATGTAGAGCCAATGTAACTTCCCCGACTGCTAAGGTTGCACCATGACGCATGCACAGATCAGATGAGAGTGTGCATGGAACTACTTTCTCCAGTACATAATTTGCAAAATATTCGGGGTTGTATTTTACAAGAGTGAAAAGGGCATTTGCAGCAAGTTCTCTCAAGACTTTGTCCTATATGGGTCAACCATACATGAGAGGATTTCAAATAATTACTAGCTGATAATAATAACTAATAAAAAGAAAAGAAAAAGCCACAACCATAGATGCTCAGTAGGTTCCATATGCACAAGAATTTGTGAATCATGTTTTCTTCAAGGGAAAATATATCAAAGTAGTAGCATGTGGAAAACAAATGTGAGAACTTGCAATGTTTCCTTCAACTTAAAGTAGAAGGAAAAAGCAAACAGACCCAAAATAGCATGGGAATCATGTTGAATCAGCTGACGGACATATTAGAGTGGATGTTTTCAAAGATGCTGAGTGGGCTGGGTCTCCTGCGATCAAAGGCCAACCAACTATTGGATAGTGGCTTCCGTAGGGAGCAAATTGATTTTGTGAAAAACTACAAAACAGACAGTATTGCATGTTTGCAGCACTTTTTTTGGGTAAGCAGTGTTTGATTCAAGAAAATACACAATTTGTGAAGTTTGATGATCAACTTTCAGATATACTCCCACTAACACATTAAGTCACATTCATAGTTGTTCCAAGTTTGGATAGCATGACACATACACTCCCACTCGAGGGGCAGTGTTGGGAAGTGTTGAGGACGACAATATTATTATTATTGTGATTAGTATACTAATTAAGAATATAAACAATCAAGGATATACCAACCAAGGGTATAATGATAAATCTTTTATTGCAGTATATACAAGATGAGAGTGAGAGGTAGGGTAATCAATTCTTTTTCCTGCTCTTAAACCATTCTTCCAAATTTCTTTCTCCACCAACAAACCGTATATGCTTTTTGCCTTTCAGGCTTGTCTCGTCTGGCTCATTTTTACATACTTTCAAAGGTCAGGTTTAATCCCTCTTTTAAAATGATTTGACTGATATTGTGTTGTAAGCAACGATCAGATTTGGGAGTACATCCAACTGACATAGTTTTTAATAAGAATTTTCAATATATAGGTGCTACTGGACAATCTTGTAAGCTAAGGCACTACAACAAATAGGACTAGAGGCTTTTCTTCCAAACTCTGGTTGTACGAGTGTTGACAATCTCATGATGATCAGATGCAGGACCATAGACCTGGTTGTAGTAACAAGTTTTACCTTGGTGGAAGGCATATCAGACAGCAATGGCAATGATTTAATGATTATGACCATGTACCACAGGATTTAATGAGGTTATCAGCAATAGTACAGAGTGCTTAACAATTAGGAAAGACTTTGGAAGACAAAAACCTTCCCTACTAAAAGAAATACATAAAGGACAGGAATCGCCGTCTATCAAAAAAATGTCTTCTGAAGCACAAAAGTGGGAAAAGGCTGCATTTAAGTTGTCAATGTTAAAAATCAAACCAAATAAATATTCCTTAACTAACCCTAAATAGTTGGGATTAAAGCTTTGTTGAGTTGAGATATGATGATTAAAAAAAGAAAAATAGTTAAATCCCAACTGAGATATCACCAAATTTTCGATACCACAAAGAGATGACACCATCAACTGAATTGCTTTCACATGTACAAGAGTGGCATGCAGAGTGTAATCAAAATTAGATGACAGTGTACAGAATATATTTTGGTTGAATATAACCTAAAATAAAAGTTAAGTAGAACATACCCAGTGACAGATTTTGTTGTATAGCAGTTCATCCACAAATGGATAAAGGTAACCTTCGTATTGAGCAATGGAGACAGCAACATGAAGATAAGAGTTTACGCGAGAGGAGAGTGCAAAATAATCTGCAGTATTTACAATGTCAATGCCATGGGGATAATTCCCTTGTCTTCCAACATTCTCCTGAAAAGCAGCAGCAGCTGCCCTTCTGCAGTTTACCTGAGCATTATATTGTCAAAGCATTGGCAGGGTAATACCCCGAGACAATAACGTACTCTAAGAAGATTTACATATACAATACCAAAAAAAAATGTTATAATGTTCAGCACCTCACGGTCATAACAAGCCACCGTCAAAAGGTCTGGAGCAAGTTGTCCCAGTATGCTTTTCATATCTGTGTGATTATATGCACGACCAAATGCCCAACAAACATAAGCAGCAGCATCACGTACATGAGATCCAACACTATGTGGACCTCTTCGAATATCATAATGTAGCGCCTGTTGAGATACATGTTATTCGTCAGTGCCCATGGCATGATCATATTGTAGATGAGCCAAGTCTTTAGCTGTTAGATGCACAGTCGTAGAGTACAATATATGAATATCTCTTGTAAAGAATAGCCGAAAATGAATGGTTTCCAAGGTGCCAATATCCATCAACTAAGAGAAGAATACTCAAACAATTAGAATGTACATATGCATATCCCAGGTGGAAAGTAAATACTCCAGCTGTTTGGAGAGTTGCTCAAAAACTCCAAAAAATGCACTGACTAGAACACAATTAATACAGCAATGGAAAGCCATAGCACCCTCTTACAAACGGATCAGTGCAGCATAGCTTGCTAGTTATTGGAGCCCAATTGTTTAAGAGAGACAAACTAAGCGACTTGTATCTGGCCCAAAATGGCTGAAACACATTTATCAAGTGAAACAAACAACTATGCCACCCAGGAAGCAAAAGTATAATTATTGGCACTTGGAACTTTGCAAAAAATGTCATGCATTACACATACATACACACACAGATATAGATGCTATAAAATATAAACACAAGTAAAAACTGATTTTAAAGGAAAGGGAAAATTTCCAATGAGCAAGCATGCACAATGTAGAAGTATAATGGTTAAGCAACACATTATATTAAAATGAACTTTTTTCTGGTATTTTATGATTTTTTTGGTAAAAGGAATTCCAATCATACACAATGCAGAAGTATAATGGTTCAGGACAGAAACCACACAACCTTTATTACAACTGGTACAACTTTGGGAAGACTAATGGGTAAGAGCAATCCTCTACGTGCCAGTTCAGCCAATGCTAAGCAGCCTCCGTGCCATGAACCATCTCCCTAATAAACTAGGATACATCAGAAACTTTGAATCCAAAGAACAAAGCAAGTATAGTTGATGACGTACTTGAAGAAACATCAGCATCATTAGTTAGGGGTTCATAGATACATGTAAATTTTGAGATCTTCAAAAAATGGCCCTGTTATTGATAAACTTTGCAGCAAGAAACAAAAGAGAGTTATAGCACCAGTATACCTCACCAGGTGAGAACAGCTCTAATAAAGATGAGAGGACTTCATCGCAGAGGGTATAAGTTAGCCGTGAAGTTAAGCGGCCAATACCTTTTGCAGCAGACCAACGCACAACAGTGTCCTAAATACACAAAAATCACTGCATCACGTCAGCAGCAAATGCACTTAAACAAGAAAATAAATAGAAAAACTAGAAGAAGGCCAATTTATCAAATTGAACAGAACTTCAGCTAACAATCTGCAATAATAAGGCAGGAAGTCCGCTATCTTACAAAATGCAGTAACTGATATGCAAGAAGAAGTCAAGGCTTACTGGAAATCCTCAAAAGCTTCAATGGTGGAGATCAAGCCATAGAAAGGAAAGTGATACATGAGGTTGACATCATTCACTAAACTCCCCCATTTCGAGGTTAAACCGATGCCCTCCCAAACCTTCGGAATAATACAATGAAATGACCGATAAAAAAGGGAAGAAAGGAAGTGGCATGGAATACAAAGCATCAGTCTTCGACTCGAAGGATTCTAAGATACATCGGTCGCGGCATCAAAAATTGGTATCAAACTATATGTACGAAATGGAAGCTAGAAGCATAAGTTGGATATGGCAAGAAATTCGGACCATATCATGACATTATAGAACGGTATCGAACAATATGTTCCGAGTCAATGATAATAACTCTGAAAACCTGGCCAAGTCAATCAAGACGTCTCCAAATTAACTACGAGATGAAAGAATCTCATGGTTTCCACAACATAGGCATGATAACAAACAAAAAGTGTCAGGTCGAATACGAATCAATCGAGTTGTGTCAGACTTGACTGATTCATTAATGCGTCGTACGTGAATGACATTGAAACCATGACATGGGTCCAACAGGAGTGTAAATCAATCACCGACTAAAACATGATAGAATAACTGATAGAGTTCTAAAAAGGTTTATAAACAGCATGACAAGGATGCATCCTAGCCCAAGACTTGTTTTGGCATGTGTTGAACAATGCAGGCCACACATGGTACTTGCAGACATAATTTTTGGCCAAGTGTATTTTTGCAATTGTATTTCAGAATTTCTAGAATGCAACCCAGTAGTATCCCATGATTCCTATTCTAAGGCATGTTATATTTTGTGGTCTCGTTTGTCATTTTAATGTAGACTAATCAAATTTTAAGTTTCTAAAATATATGTTAAATTTGTACACCATCATCTGATAAATTGTCCACAGGGTACCACTAGTTTTTTCCCAAAATTAAAGTTGAAAATTTTCACCCAAAATTAACCTAGACTAGCCATGTAAATCCCCTTGGGTAAATTACTTGTGCTTATCCACTCAATTGTTATAACATGAGTTTGAGTCTTTAAATCCAACTCTTCGAGAAAATTAATTATCATTTATCTCACCTCGATCACTTTTATGTGGTGGTGTTTTTTTTGGATAAGGTTGTAGTATCATACTCAAAATCGATCTTCAAATATTAGTTTTGATGATTTGCAACTATTGATTGAAAAAGAAATATATATATATATATACACACACACTGACCACATTTTTATTGGATGAAAAATAAAAGTATGGTATCAAAAATTATTTTTTGGTACTATAATTAGACGCTCTTTTCTAAATATTAAGAACCATTTTTTTTTGTCTTGACATAACTCACAGTCAGGGCTTTTCTTGGGTCCTGGCCCAGGTCCGAAGTTGGGTTTAGGTCCAAGTTTGGAGTCCGGGTTCAAGGTTAGAGTTGGGTCTAGGATGCAAAGAGATGGTTCACTTTGCATCCTGGTCCGATGTCGGATCTGGGTCATGCTCCAAGGTTCGGTGTACAGATTCAGGTCGTGTCGGGTACAGCCTTGGTCTAACATTTTGAGGTTGGTGTATTAAAAATAACAATATTATATTAATGTAATCAAGAGTATTTCAATTAAATTCAATTTAATTTAGAAAAAAGATTGATTTATCCAAATATTTGAATGAATTTTCATTCTATTACGGGCTACAACACTTGATCCTAGTTATTATCAAACATTAGAATGGTAATGTACATTCCATTCTTACATTCATTCCATTCTCATGTAAAAGTATTATCGTTAATGGAATGACATGAGAATGGTATTACATTAATATCATGTACAATAAAAGTATTACATTCATTCCATTCTCATGTCAATGCAACAATCATCAATCCTTTTTTTGTGCAAACTACTTGCAAAATCACAAGAATGTAATAAGATCATGATGGAATCTCACCCTTTAGACATACCGTATCTCTCAATCCTGAGAGCAGCACCTCAATAATCTCTTCTACTATATCTGGGACTTCCATCTCTTCCTCTTGCATGCAGCTTGCATCATGATCTGATTTGGAGGAATGCACAGTCAATGCATGATTGCCTTGATCAATCTTTCTGGACACATTAGGTGAAATATTCTCTCCAAGTTTGTTGTTTCTACCCTGCATGGAAGGCTCACAAATAATGTTGAGAAAGAATACGCATAAGAAAACATTAATTATCTAAGTAGACTACATGCGGGACATTTGCACATATATATCTATATAAAATCCTTGTAAAGTATCTGTCACCAGATATACTGATATACAGGCCAACAAAATAGATACAGACAGGAAGACACAGCCAGAAACTGAGATAAGAACTATATAGCTATTGAGTGGAATTTCAATGGTTTCTCCGACGTTGTTGTCAGAGAATAAATGATAGAAAACACAAGTCAAAAGCTAAAAAGAAGATCTAAGACCATTAATACATGAAAAAATAAATTTAAATTAAAGAAACCACCTGCCAGCACGTTGAAAAATAAAGTAACCACAACATACTAATGTTCATAGAATTGAATTGATTGTGCTTTTCATCTCGTGCCAACATCCCCAGAAAACAAAAAGGGAAAAGGAAACTAGGGGTTCAATAAGAGCATAATTGAATGCTCCTAAAATAACCTTCATAGTAGGTGCCATTTGGCTCCAAACCCCAAAATCACTATTTTGACATTTCATGTTGGTTGGATCTGTTTAATGGAAAATTAACACAAATTTCGCATGGGAAAAGAAAAGCCCTATGTTTCCACCTCCAACAAAGTGTCCTGCTCATAACCCACTGGAACACAATGAAACAAAAACAAAACCAATTCTGTTTTACCTATCAAAACTGTATGAAAAAGGTTTTCTTCCCTATATTTTCCATAAAAAGTGGTTGTGTTCAGTGTCCGGTTTCTTCTAGATTTCTCATGCTTGTCCTTAAAATCAACACCTTCTCCAGCCTATCTTGGCTTTGGTCCTTTTTCTTTAACCCTCTTCCTCTTATTGTTGTTTCTAGATTACTTGGGGAACAACCCTTCCCCCTCTATTTCCCCAATAAAACCTTAACCCCTTCAAACTTACAAAAAGTACTAAAGCCAACCACCATAGGACCCTAGGCTTCCTTTTTCTTCTATAAACCCTTTTGGCCTCTTCTTATTAACCACATTTATTATTTTGTCAATAAATGTCTAGTTCTAATCCCTGTTCAGATCTCACAAGTCAGGACCTTTAGAATTGTCCATATTAATCCATCAGTGCATTGCTTAATGTTCCTTTCGACAATGCAAGCAGATATATCAGATCCTGAAAAAGAAACATAAAACCTTAAAATCAAGTACAGAGAATTTGGCATGTCTAACCACATAGCACCAGGATGGTGAACGATGAGGTAGGCAAGTAAGCACAATCCGCTGAGTTAGCTTCACCAGATACTTGCGAAGTAAAGGGCTCCTAGATGCCGTATTAGACTTGATCAATACTGATGTGTCATTCCAAACGACAGGAACCACATCGAGTAACACTTTTGGGCTGCCTGTCTGCATTTAAAGGGAAAAACTTGTCAGAAAAAGGCCTGCCTTAAAAGTGAGAGGACATGTGATTCAAATAATCTAAATCAAATTGGAAAAAACGAAGCTTAATGAAAAATAACACAAAAAGAACCACTGAATATTGCAGAATCTGGAATCTATAGGCTCTAACCCTTATATTTTATAAGTACCCTAAACTCTCTCTATCTATATTTATCTCTCTCTGCATATAAACGGATACATATATATATAATCTTATAACCATCTACAAGACAACTTTGTCGAAAACCATGAATTCCTGAACTATGACCTTCTTAATGGCATGCGTAACAATTTCATGAATAACATAATATCTGAGTTGAATAAAGTACAAAGAACCTAAACCAAAACCAGACCTTAAAAATGGCAGCCAGTGCTTCCACTGCACCTAATAATCGAAAGTGATCAGTAACATCAGCTGCGATAGAAGTTAGAACTTCAAGCGTCCATCCAATAAAGCTGAAGAAGGCATAGAAGCTAAACGCATAAGCTCAAGCAGCAACATAGAATAACAACCACATTCAACACATTAATTTAACAACAATAATAAGGAAAAAAATAAACTATCTGGGAAGAGTCACACTACACACTGTACAAAAGTAAAATATTGCATATCTGAGCATGGGATGACATCACAGAATTTTGGTCCCATTGTGGCGTTTTAAAGAATACAAAATACTCAAAGCAAGCCTATGCTCTAAACACATTAGCATTGAATAATATCTACTGTGGATAAACAAATTAAAGAGCTCAAAGCAACACTAGGATGTCAATATATTAGCATAACATTAGTTCATCGAATGTTGGCCCAGTTGTGTTAATTCAAGAAACACAGTTGGAATTTACTTGGTGTAGAAACAATGTAAGAAAATCCCAAGAAAAAGGAGTTGGTCAACAGTAGGAAGGCATGATCAAACTAGAAACAGCTAGAAGTTCAAGTCTAGCTACTCTTAAGTAGTAAATTTTTGAAACTTATTTATAAAACTAATAGAAACCACCTGAAACATGCCAAAGCAGCCCAGATCAGTTATGATCTGCCATTTTATGATGTAAAATGGTCAAACCTGAGGCAAACTAGTCACAGTTCAACCAATTATAATTACACAATTTGTCCTGAACTTCAATTCAATCCGAACAACTCTTTGTAGCATCAGTCAATCTAATTTGCACTGCCATAAATTTCATACATGTTCCTTTTATTGAAATCAGCAAGGAATAATGCTCTTTATTTTAAAGAGAAAAAACCTGCTATAAGCCTTCAACATATCTGGACGTGTTAGAAGCTTTGAGAGCAGCAATGCAGCAATGGTGCGCATAGGACCTGCATTTGAGAGGTATTCTTTAGAGAATCTTAAGATCCTCAACACCAATGGGGGCGGCTCATCTCCACCAACATAGCTACTATCGGCAATACTTGTATCCACAGAGGCTATATCAAAAGGAATCAACACAAGTATTGAAAGCCAAAGTAATATCACACATTTTGTCTCCATCTCTCCCGTACTTTCTTGCCTCAATGATGTCACTGCATTTGTGTCATGACACACCTCTAGGAGAGATACAGCAAGTTCTAAATCGGAAACCTGATGTGGGAAGAACTTTATGACAGCCTTGTATCCACAAACTGTTACCAAAGAATAAATAATAATACATAATGGCTTGATCACATCAAGAATTTTGTTGGAGGCCACCCCTAGTTCAGCTGTTTGACGGCACACAATAAACATCAGAGGAGAAACTATACTCTCAAGATAAGGCTCTAATAATTGACCTTGTTCCTGATACTTGTCCATCTGCATTATTAAACAATTAGAAGTGCAAGGCAGAAAGTTATTTTACAGTCATGTATTAAAGAGTAGCACATGGAAAAAGATAATAGAATATCTATCATTTAACAAAAAAACCACAGAAAAGACGGTCCAAAAATCAAAGACATTCCTGAGTCCTCAATGACCTATTAAGGAAGTTTCATGTGCCTAATCATGAAAATATCTACCCATTGACCACTCAAACACATAGAATTGCTCTATGCCTATTGATGCAACCAGTGCCTGTCTCAAATTACAACTCTGAGTCATTTCACCATAGTTGTCCTCACTCTCTAGCCACCTGCTTCTATACAGAAGCAATTGTCTTGAGCAATGGCTACATAAGAGCGACATATGTAGGTGGTTGGCTCTCAAAGCATGGATTTAGGGAAGCAAGCACTTTAGAAGAAAAAAATTACCATTGTGGAACATTTTGCAACCTCTGAAAAGAGATAAAGCAGAATTTTCTCAAGACTATTAGAAAACCCTGTATTTGCTTGGTGCCCTTTTGGTGATTTGCAGAATTCCTATGGGAACCTCGTCAATACTTTGAGTTGTCAATAGTAAATCATTTATCAAACTTTACAATCTTTTTTAAGTTCATTCCATATCACGTAAAAAAAATTGCAGTCCAACGCTAAGGATCTCGCTAATATGGTCCAGGCCAAATGTACGCAGCCTCTCCCGCTTGAGGATAGGCTACAAAATTTTGTGTAATCTCATTCAATATCATGTATTGAGAAAATTCTAACTGATATGTCAAAGTGTCAAAGTAATAAGAAACAATTTTGCAACATATGTATGTGAATTACTAGACAATTACAAGAGGTTATGTAAAATACATACGAATTCAAGGCGCCAAATACTCATGTCCTGTCATTATTACCAAAAATTTAGGTGTTTTGAAAATAAAATATATTTTCTCAGAATATAACATAGCAACCCATTGCATAAATTTCGAAAATAGAGATGAATTCAAAGTTTAGTGTTTCCATTGGCTTATTACAAGGGAACTATATACATGTATTTTCCTTTAATAACCACTAGCAGTGTCCTTACCAAAGCAAATAACTACTTATATGGTCATAGGGCATTAATAAATGTTGATGCTTTAATTTTCAAAATTAAGCTTGTCTAATCAAATTTCTTTCACTCGAAGAATGACCCTATTCTAACTTTGAGTCAAAATGAAATTTTAATTCTTTTTAAGGATCACAGATTAGTTCAAGGGTAAAGAACTTTGGTTTATAAGCATGAGATCACTGGTTCAATTTTTAGAGCATCCATTTGGTACAAATATGCTAAACATCAAGATTATAGCAAGTCTATCCCTCCCATCATTTGGCCAAAGTAAAACTACACTGGGTAATGACATTGTTAAAAGAGTATTCCTTTTAAAACCTCAAGATGAAAATTGTTAATGAGCTTTCATCAATTCTTTAGTACATTCAAGTGTCAAATCAACAACTCAAAACATCAATCCCAAAGTACTTGGGCAGTCACTATATAAACTGTTTTATGCCATCATCAATCTAGAATTAAATTATCCGTAAATTTGTCAACTTTAGTCATAAATTGCTCCACTCCTTTTTTTTTTTTTTCCCCCAGGGTACATGGTAGTTCTTTTCAGTATCTAGACCAACAGAATAAAAAAACTCCACCAATCAACAAATCTACATGACCCTTTAGAACAAAACCTATTTAATATTATTACAACTATCAATTTAAATTGCATATTTGTAAAAGCACAACGGTTGAGATTAATTCAATCTTTATCAAATTCCATCTTACAAATTTATTTCAAAAAAATATTTCCCACACAAGAACACGTCCGTCAATGAAAAACAACTTAATCAACAGACTCCTCGATGCCAAACAACCCTATTCATCCACACATATCTGTCTTTTCTCTCTCTCTCTCCTACTTCTCTATTATCTTCTCACTATCCACTTTAATTTTAAATTGCACAATTAAAAAGAAAAAAATTACTATTTAAAATATAAATGTTACCCAATTAATACTCAATTTTTTGTCTTGTGAAGTGTCTTCACGCAATGATTATTGCTAGTAATACAATAAATCACAAAACTAATACCAATTTAAAGCCAAAACCAGTATGTACTATGTACAGCTCAAATATATAAGTTCGTACATGCATATTCGTATATCACCTCCAGCGGATCTACTAATATCAAACAGTAGTCCTAAATTCTGGCATGCCAATCAACACGTAAATGGAGAAAAAAAAATCTTTAAAATTATCAAAATTCGCAAATTAATTCACACAACACTAGATAGATATGAATGTCGGAGAGAGGGAGAGAGAGAGAGAGAGTACAATGGATCGTATCTTGTGAACAGAGGAGAGATCGGAGACACGGCCATGTGAAACGATGTCGTCGAGGAGAGACTTGACGAGTTTCCATTCTTGAAGGAAGTATCTCTGTAGAACCATCTCTTTCGAATCGTACTCGTCGTCTTGTTCCACTTCACTCACCGCCACCATTGATTCCTCCATTTTCAAGGTTTCTCCCCCGATCCTGGTCCCCATTCTAGAGAGAGAAAGAGATGCTAATCTCAGTGAGCGAGAGAGAGAGAGCGCGCGCGCTAGAGCTCTTTGATTTCCCGCCTGTGAGTCTGTGACGCAGGAGTTCGATCGATAGATCGTTGGAACATAAATTTCCTAGGTGCTTCCGAGTCTACCATGTAACTATACTACTACACTGTCTAAAGGCTACCGTTTTGGGTTTCTTTCATTTTCTTTTGCGGGCCAATCAGCCTGCGCAAGCAACATCCATGGCTCACATACCGGGCCAAAGAGCCCGGCCCCTATCTATCTGGCCATCAGTATCCAATAGGTTGCCAAAAGATGACCCACGAGCCCGAGCCATACAACCCGCTGGCATTGTGGCTTTTGACCAAGGGCCTACTCGTTTGGCTGCCTTTGCAGATCTCAAACGATTGTCCCATCAAAAAAATCAAAAAAAAAAAAATTAAGAAAGATATATGTCTATTAGGTCACATAAAGGGTAACCATTTGTGGCTTTTGATCAAGGGCCTACCCGATTGGCTGCCTTTACAGGTGTCCCATCAAAAAAAATTTAGAAAGATACATGTCTACTTAGATCATACGAAGGGTAACCACTAAACACAGTCTGATGGATAGACGGTGGGCCGTAAGTTATTTGTGGAAATTAGCCACCCAACGACTTGATGATCTAACTTGGCCCGTTGGGCCATTAGTCTTTTGTGCAAATTTTAGCCTTCAACTTGCCACCCAATGCAGAATAGAACCCATCTAGGCATGTGTTAAGGGCATGTCTGATCAATGCTTTCATACCACTTGAACACTAGTTTCATCTCTGTCTAGATCTATTATCCAAATTTTGTTTCGATTACAATTGACTAATTCTCGATCAAAACTTGAACATTTTTAACATGAATAATAACTCGATACTAATATAGCAAACTATTGAATTAGTAATATGTAGAAAAACTTAGTATATAAATAGAGTGAATTTTAAATTTTAATTACAGGGCCAAAAGTGGTGGTTTTGAGTGGGCTTAATCATATCCATCCGACCACGATGTTATTAATAGAAATGTTGGATTAAGATCAAGATATTGCGTCTTATGAGATATAAACCGAACATGGTATTCGGTGCTTGAAAGATGGTTTGGTGAAATATGTTGGCATAATTAAATGACCCATGCGTTCCAGAACAGAAGAAAAAAAGTAAACTTATAATTATCAAAGCATAAAAGCCAAAAGAAAAGGCATTTAAGGTATAATTTCCTTAAAATCTTCTTTCCAAAACTTCATATTCACAGATTTCATTCATCAAACATATGAGTGTTGTATACAAAACAAAGACAAAAACAAGATCAATTCACATGAAGAAGAAGAAGCCAAGATCATGAACAAGACCAGACTAGCTAGGGCCAATGGGTGGTGGCACCAGAGGCTCTTCTATGTCTCGCAGCAAACCTATTAAACAAGGCCAATGCATTGCTAGTGAGCTGAGCCACATTCAACACCTTGGCCTTAATTGTAGCCTTCACCTTCCCATCCATGGCTGAACCATAGAACCCATCAATACAGGTGGTAGCGTCCGTTAAAGCAGTACTAACCCATGTCCGAACATTGCTCTCATGCCACCCGAACTCTTCTTCTCCGACGAGACCCATTCTCTGCAACTCTTTGATGGATTGGCTAATCTGATCCACACCATCATTGATCTGATCTAAACAGTCTTTCACAGCTTGGTAGTCTCTAGCCTTTGTTTGATTGAGCTGTTTAGCCACTAGGGTCACATAGACCTGGGTGTACCGGGCCCGGGCCAAGCTCACCGTCAGAGCTATCTGAGCAAGCTGTTGTGGGGTTTTCAGGGTTGAGTTGACGTAGCTGGTGAGACACTGGACACATAGTTTTGGGTACAAGGTGGCCCGGCACTGGCCCTCGACGTAGGCTCTGACCCGAGAATCTCGATGACCACCCGGCTGGGCGCTGCTGGCGAGGCAGAAGATGATGGAAAGAAGGAGAAGTATTAAATAGAGGTTGGTCTTTGCCATAGAGATGAAGTATTGGTGGCTTGACTGTTTTTGAGATTGAGATGTGAACAGACCGGGGTTATGGTTTTTATATAGAGAAGGGGTTAAGGGTGTATGTGCTGGATAGTGCGCGCGAAATGAGCTTCGGAGAAGCTGGTGATCGGACAATAACCTTGATTGATGTTTGAGTAATTTTGTAACTAAGTAACGTTTTGTTCAAACCATGCGTGCCTTGTTACTCAAAACTATTTCAAATAGAATGCGTGACAAGTTATTTCCTTTCGTGGTCTGACTTTTTTGACTTCATAACAGGACAACTTCATAATAAAAGTTCGTAGTAAACTCTCATCAAATTTTTGTAATGATATAAACTATGTTTCATGAATTCAAGTAGAATTCATTATATAAATGTAAGTCCCTTACCAATGTACGATAAACAATTTATCACTGGAAAAAATTACAAAAAAAAAAAAAGAGCAATGCTATAAAAATTTTATTTGGAAACCTATTCTGAGAACCTAATGATATGTTTTCAATGTAATTATTAGATTAGTTGTGAGTTTTAATATTAGATGAAACTCACAACTAATCTAATGATTATACATCGTTAATTTCTAAATTAGATTCTCAAATTAAATTCAAATAACATTTTTAAAAAAAAATGGGAGATATGGATCCGGGGTTTTCTTGGATTGCACTATTGGATCATTTATGGGCAATGATTTGATCGGCTAGTGCGGTGCTGGCGAGTCTAACGGCTACTTGTCGAAAGTAAATAATATATATATATATAAAGAGAGAGAGAGAGAGAGAGATGGGTTAGCCAACATGATGCTAGTATTAAGGTAATGATATTGTAGGATCAAGTAATACGATTCTATATACAATAAATTATGGTCTGCATTACCTTTGGCAACTGGTGACACCTAAGAAATTCATGTGAGCCTTCTTCCCCTTTGAGTTGCCTTTCAGCAAGTACCAACCAAAGCTCCCATCAGAATCCAGCTTTGCCATTTGATGATTTTATCTGGCAATTTTTGCATTGGATTCTATAATGAGTAAATTAATAACCATCATTTATATACTGTGGTGGTGTTTGGATCAAAGGATTTGGGGGGATTGCAGCTGGGATTGAATTAAAATAGTGAAGGGATCCACTTATCCTTGGTTTGGGTAAGTTTTTGGAAATGGGATTTTCGTTGGTTTTGAAAACATCGGCCGTATATTTTGAAGCAACGAATCTCATCTACAGGTGATTCAACAATCCCTTCTGCTGTGAGGGATTGTTGAATTGTGAAGTAGGATTATATGGCTAAAATCTAAAATACCCTCCACAGTAAAAATTGTTTTTTTGTTGTTTTTCCTCGATCTCTTTCTCTCTTTACCTCCTATATTCATTTGCTCGAGTTTGCTGCTTCACATCGGCATGAGTTTCTTCGATGGAAGTAGTAGATCTAATATCGACCATGCACTACTCAGATCTACCCACTGTTGACCAGATTTGTCCATGGAAGTAGCAGATCTAGCCATTGAAATGGTCCATCTGCTTGAAGGATGAGTGGTGTTTGGGAGCGAAGATAGAGACATATGTTATTGGTCTCTCTCTGTGTCGATCTTTCTCTGTCTGAACACACAGCCGACTGAGTGGCTGTGTTTCTCCACCACTAACACTTCTCAACGTAGAGGAGGGTTTGATAATTTTATAATTAACACCTTTGTGGGCTATTAACTAAAGAGTGGATTTGGGCTAGTAAAAAATGATTTTGGCTGTTATACACAGATTTGGTAAAAATAAATTTGGGGTGTCAATTTGAGAGGATTTAGGCTATTAATTGAGGTTGTAAATATTAAATACCCTAAATTAAAATTCGTAGAAAATACTTTTCATTTGTATATGAAATACATCCAAAAACATAACCTGGATGAATTGACATTTGGGTCAATGGTGTCGTACGTGTGCATAATTATACCATATTATGATCAAATAATTTATGTCATTTTGGATTAAAAAATTTGTGAATTTGAATAATGTTCCAACTTAATTTACAATTTTGTAGCAATTGTAAATATGAATTCTTTGTACACAAGGGTGTAATGATAATTTTACTATATTTTATTTTCACATGTCAATAGGGCCCACAATCCAATTGAAACCTATCCAAACATGGAATAAGATTTGAGTCCGAACTTTATAATTCTCTAATCTGAGCCACTTTGTATTGGATTGGATTGAGTTTGGATTCAAATTCAATCCTCCAATGATCGTCCAAACACCACCTGTAGTGATTAAAGTGTCGGATTAACAACTGTAGAGGTTACATGTTTAGTTATGTGAAGAGCTAGTATAGACATGCGGTGCTAAAGATTTATATACTTTTTTGAACATTAAAGTAATCCAAACAAAATACTAAATACATTTCATTGCTATTTTACTAAAGTGATAGTTATGACCCTACGTCAGTAAAAAAAAGGCAGACAAGATGTATGATATGAACTTTTAGACACCTTTTTCATATAAGTCGGTCTCTTTTAGACACCCTTTTCATATAAGTCGGTCTCTAAGGGCAAGTTTTTACCCATATGCTTATAACAATTGATATCAGAGTTAGCTATCTCGTCAAGTGTGAGATGGAACGCAATATGAGTTGGACTCTTTGGGATCGAGTCATAGAAGGGACAAATTATGGATTAAGATGACTTGATATTGTATATAGGTATATTGATATCTCATTTATTGAATATTAATAAATGAGTGAAGTTGCTAAAGGAAAAAGTGGTTCAGTGTTGATAGAGTGCATAGTAGGGATGTCAATGGACCGAAGCGAGGGCAGGGGGTATAGTCTTCATTCCCGTACCCGCCTAAAAAACCTTCGTCCATCTCCGGTCCACCCCCGTTAACGGGTATAATTTTTATCTCTATCCCCGTCCACGGGTAAATTTATAATCTTCATCCCCGCTTCTCCTGTACCCGCCTAAGCACAAACCCAAGCTCAAGCCCAAGTTTAAGCATAAGTCCAAGTTTAAGTCAACATAATCTAAAATTCTAAATAAATTTAACATTTTAAATAATCCAACAATATTTTAAATAATCTAACACAACATAATATAACATACCATATTCAAATATAAAACAAACAACAAATGTCCAAAATACTACTTAAATTTGATATAATTCAACAATACACAACATAACACAAATAACATAATGGGTGGTAGAATCAACTCAATTATCTCTTAACACCAGCTTCACACCAACTCAGAATTAGAAAAGGGATGTTTGTTACAAATAACAAACAAATATTTTAACACTAGTAATTTTTTCAACATAGACAAAGTCATAAGAATTAGTTGTTCCTACTTAATCAACTACTCAATATAAAGCTCTGAATGCAGGTGAAAAAATGTAAACCACCTCAGATGGCAACAGAAAACCATAGCTTGCTAAAGAAGGTCAGCCATGACAATTCTCCAACAAAGATTGCATGGGAGTTGAGATTAGTAGGATAAACAAATAATAAAACAATCTTGCACAGTTAATAATACTCTCAAAGTCAAAGCAACAACAAGAAAAGAACAAGACCAAAAAACATACTCAGAAGCACAGTAACACGTTTACAAGATGACACAAAATTTTAAAACAATAATAGATAGCAAAATATTTGATGCATTAAACTTTCACATCAATACTTGATGATATATATAACGGGTAACGGGTAATCGGGACGGGGCGGGGCGGGGCAGGGGTAAGGGTAAGGGTAAGGATAAGTCCATTCCCGCCTTCATTTTTGCACGGGTTTATACGGGTATTCTCGTATACGTCTACCGTCAAATACGTATAATCTATCCCTGGTCCAAACGGGACGGGTTTAGACGAATACCCGTTTTTTCCCGATTCACTGCCATCCCTAGTGCATAGCTATGGACGTTGGCTATAGAAATGTGGTGGAATGTGGGATGTTTGTATATGAATTCTTGAGCATTCTTCATTTACAAACCAATTTTCAGGATAAGTTCTACTCATTGGCTCATATGAGTGGCATGTCTATATCTAAGTATGACAATATATGTGAAGGGATGCACATGTGTCTGAATCTGTGATACTATTGAACAAGCTTGAAGAAAGGAGCAACACTAAATAAGGGGAAAAAAGTGGGGAAAAAAAAACATAATAAGCAAAAAAAATTTAGAATCATGATCAATCAAATATTGCAAAGTCCAGGCATTTATTACTAAGTCATAATTGGACTATAACGGAATTTCGGTCTATACCGATATCATAATATCATATTACAGAGGAAAATTTGAATTAGAGATTGAAAAAAAAAAGATATGGGCTCGTGTGAGTGACAAACAAAAAATATCTATTCTAGTTTTATTTCAATTAAGAGAAACCGAATTATTTTTCATTTATATATCTAACTCTTCTTAAATCCTATAATAATTGAGGTTTCGTGTACTAAATACGTTTTTTTATATCCCACTTAAATGATTTTCATGTACGTATACACTGCAACAACACATGCTATAAATTAATTAAAATACAATCCAGCAGAGCTTTTCTTGAAACCGACCAGCTTTCAAGTTGTATTTATGAAAGGCCCTTATTTTGCATCATGTGCTCAAAACTTAAAGGGAGCAGATATCATGATTATCCCACAAAGGCAATTAAAGCATAGAGTCAACGGGTGAGGGACTCTTTAGATCTCATTTTGAATCACTACTCTTAATTATTAGGACGAGTTGCACTTTTGTATTATAAAAAAATTTAAAATTTTTTTTTGTACACTCAAATATTTAATTTTTTATATTATACTATAAAAAATGTTGCAATATAATTCTTTTGTTATACTTTTTGCTAGTTTTTTTGTTAGCGTCAATGAGTTGACTTTTGACCAAAAAAAAAATAACAAAAACTAATAGAAATTGCACATGGTAACACTTTTGATATATTGAAGGTACAATATAAAAATTTAATTTTTAAAGGTACAAAATGAGAATTTTAAAATTTTTGAGGGTGTAAAATATAAAAAACCCTAATTATTATTATGAACTAAGGTTTAAAAATTTGGAGATAACCCACCAAAGATCAACTGGGACGATCAAATTAAATCAAATCTAATCTAATCTAGAGTGTTATACTATGTTGGTGAGTTTTCGAAATCCTAATCCTACCTGATAAACATGGTAACTAGCTTTGACATTGTTTAGGGTGGGGCTAACAACTGCTAACACGACTATGAGAATCCGCTATATAATTAATATTATGGACTGACACTAACCGACTAGGTATGCTATGAACTAAAAGCTGCTGAATGAATATAAACGATGATATCTATACTAATAGATCTTGTATATATCGTATAATAAAGTACATCATAGGTTAATATATAAAAATTCAAATCTGCCGATTTATAATTTTCTACATCTAAGGTCTTTCCGTCCATCATCTGACTTGTGTTTTTTATGTAAAATTCAGACCAAATGACTCTATGAAATTACGTTGATACTTCCATATATTATGAGTAACATAAGAGACACATTACAAGCAAAATCTAACTACAAATGGTCCGCACATGATTAAACAAATTTTGGCATGACATGAACTCCCACAGGCTAAATGACTAGAGTTGCAAGGCAGGAAATGAAAACACATTTCATCTCAGACAAACAGATATTACAACAGCAAATACAACCAGAGTATAAATTTTACATAAGCCATGATAACATGGTACATACACACCAGAAATGCACAATTTGACAAGAGTCTACAGGTATTCTTCGGTGTCACTCAGCCACCTTCACACCTGTTAGGTAAACCTGAGACTGGATCACAGTACCCCCAATCCAAAAGCCAGGCATAACCATCAACCCAACCTTGGCCTTCTGATCACTTTCATCCATAACAACATTGTCAACTACACTTTCCATATAAACCTCCGAAAACTCAGTTCCCCTCTGGACCTGAAAAACCTTAACTGCAGGATCAAAAGAATGAGCTAACCTGTGCAGAAGCCAGATTGACTTGGCAAGTTTCAGAAAAGCCTGATAGAAAGGTGTCCTAGGATGCCCACCACCCATTACATAGTTTCGCTGATCTAAATTTCCAAAAAAAGAAGCCTCCATCTTTGGGTGAACAACAACTAGGTATTTGCTCAGGCAAAATTTCCCAAAAAAGGAATCTGAATTTTGGCCTACCGAATCTAGGGGATCCATTTCCCTTAGTGCGAGATATTGTTGGAAGGAACTCTCTTTGGTAACCAAAAGATTCTCGGGTCTCACGGAGAAGCTTTCTTCCTGAAAACCACTGAACATTCTTTGGCAAATATGTGATTCAAATGCGTATTTTTTGTGAGCTCTCTTTGCATAAACAATGTCGGTTTCTATGGAGTTTGCAGCTGCATCAAGATCCCAACCAGCAGCTTTCATCATGTTGATCAATGGCTTAGAAAAATCATGAATGGCTCTGGAAGCAGCTTCCACAGCTGCCTTAAAAAGATCAGGAGTCAGATCCATGGGGACAAATCCATTTTCATCTCCGGAGCCTTCTGATTCTTTGGCGGACAAGCCCCTGAGTTTGAGGTTTTTCTCCAGTTTAACCCGCTTCTGATTTGCCTCCTGGATTTGCTGTTGTAACTGAAGAACCTCAGAGTCTTTATTCTGAATTTCAGACTGAAATTTTTTCACCATGACCTCATACGTTTTCAACAGGTTCTGCTGTTCTTGGATCTCTGCAGCTAAGCGTGAATCTTGAGGAGGAACACATACAGGCTTGGGGTTGTGATCCCTGTAAAAATGCTTGAGTTCAGACAGATTCTTCAACTCCGAAATTACAACTTTATCAGCAGCTTGAATTTTATCAGGGTTGTAGGGAGTATGAGCCTCCTGGAGCTGGATGTAGGCTGACTTTAGGGAGGAGACGTTCGTGAAAATCTTTAAAATCAGAGCTTCAACTGCTTCTGGATTCTGCTTTTTGGCCTCTTCCATGGGTTGAGGGTGAACCTTCTGGCTATTGCTATCACGGAGTTGGGTGTCTTTCACTCCAGTGGGTTGCATAGCTACTTCCAACCAAAGGGCAAGCCAATGAGTTTCCGTTCAGAGAATAAACAAATGTAGCATAACCTGCCAACTTGCAGAAAATTGTAGGTGGCATTGACGATTTAGTTAGAAACTATGTACTTATACAAAGCCAATCAATTTAATTGACTTGAAGAAAATAGGGTTCAATATGACTAATACTGCCTAAAAAATTGATATTAATCATCACTCATTGAATGAATCCAGTGACTAAAACTTTCTGGTTATGTGATGTGGAATTGACTTCACCTCTACTGATGTTGAATTTTCTCCAAATGCCGATGCCATATACAACAAATTCGTACAAGTCATTGCATTACTATGTCAAACCCTACCAATAATAATGTATTCCTAACCTTACAATGGAAGACGTTAGGTCACATAAAACATCCATTAAGTAAATTATGAAGGGGATGCAATCAGAAACATATGAACGAACACAAGAGAGGTTTTAACAAGCAAAATTTAAGATGGTGAACAGGGAAATTGGTCCCAAAAGCCATGCGATCATCAACCAAATTAGCAGTTTCCAGCTCACAAAAATACTGCAATAGTGCCACTATCCATATGGTTTCATCACACTAACTAGACCCTAATCCATTTCTACAGTATTTCCTTTAACTTTTAAAAAATTAAGACGAGAGCCCCCTAAAGCTCCAAGCCTCTAATCTACCCCAATAGCCATTTTAAATTCCTTTATTTATTCTCTCTTCGACTCTTCCCCTCCCCCACTGCAAATGCCTTGCCAACAATTATAGTATCGTATGGATCCACTTGTCATAACCCTAAAATGTTACACTCCTTCACAGCTCAAACCCTGAACCAAAATACAAAACTCACTCCCTATTCCAATCTCTACATGTACCTCCTCCAACCAACAGAAAAATTCTATCATTATTGCCACATCTTTTCTGAAATAACTGAGCTGCCCAACAAATGAAATTTCCCATTCCCTTTAGTTAGTTACACGGTACACTGACAGGAAAAAAAAACAGATCTCAAATCATTTCGCCCAGTGCCACTGTAAAGTGCTCATGCCAACAACTACGAGATTGTGGATTCAAATACGAGGGAAGCCACATTGTACAATTAATGCTAAAAGTTAGGTCTGTACCTAGTATACCACTCCCAGAAGCCTCAGTTAACACTTAACAGCCTCCCCACAGGAATTAAATTGGATAGTGTCCTTTGAAAGTAAGATGACAATTTTCCAGAAAGCTAAGACCTAGGTAAATACGATTAATTGACAATAACCCTCTAAATCAATCCTATTTCACAACTGTTTGGCTCATCAGCTATCCACCTTCACCGAGATTAACACCAAATGTCAAAGTGACGTGGTTTTATACGCTATCATCTAAACAACCATCATCGAAAATCAAAATAAATAAACAAAATGACATGGATTCACATACAATCATCGGCAGAGCAAAAAAGGGAACGCGTTTAGGTCAAATCTAAACTCAAATGTTTCTTTGGAAATTAAACTAAAAGAAACCCCCCAAAACGATTAGATTAAACCATAAAGAAGTGCGGTAGATGTGATGATGGCGGTAGTGAGAGTACCTGATCGGAGATCCCGCCGGAAAGGCGCCGGAGGAGTGAGGAATATGCTTCGAGCTGTCGAAGCAGAAGTGACGTGTGCCCAAATTTAGTCCCGACAAATATAAAACCTATAGCAGGGAGCAACTTTCTTTTGTTTTTCGGTTCTTTTTATGGTCATCTTTCGGTGGATTCTAATTTAGGTTGGTGTTATTGCCACGTGGAAATAATTTTTTTTCTTTATTTAGTCACTTTGTACACAAGAAGATTTAAGTTTTTTTTTTTTACTTTTAAAGATTAAATTTTTTATATTTTATCTTTAATAAATTAAAATTATTACAATGTAGTTATTTCGTTTTTTATTTCATTCAAAATTATTTCAATGACGTTGACAAAATGAATAACATAAAATTAATAGAAGAATTGCATTATAATATTTTTAATACATTAAGAGTACAATAAAAAATTTTAATCTTTAAATATGTAATTTTAAATTTTTAAAAATATAAAATACAATTCGCCTTAACCTTTAATTTTTGGAGGGTTTTTTTGTACAACATATAAATTCAAAGATTTTAATAGGGTGAAATGCAAAAGCACCCTTTGTAGTTAGCTTTGTTGCATGACATTTCCTCTTAGTTTAAATTTTTGTATTAAATCTCTCTCAATTTGATTTCAAAGTGCAAAAATAGATGGACGTTATCGATTTAACAGTACATGTGATCCACTCACTCTTTTTTTTGGGGGGACAAGAGAAAAAGAGTACCATTGGACCTAAGATCCGTTGGTTTGTGATCCACTCACTCAAACAACACGTTAGACACCAAAAATAATAAATTTACCCCCCACCCTTCTATTTCTCTTGTCCCCTAAATTACTTTGTTCCTTCAAAATACAGGCTACCATCGTCTCTCACCTTTTTTTTTCTTCTATCTTTTTCTCTAACATCTCTATTCTCTACCAAATCACCAAACATCTTTGCTCTAAACAACCACCACATCTCTCTCTCTCTCTCTGAGCACCACTAAGAAACACCAATCATAATTGTCTCGTATACATTTTTTTTTTAGTAGTGGAGGAGAACTTGAACTTTTAACCAAGATAAAACCTCTGCAAAACAAAAAAAAATATTATTAGACCAAAGGTCTGCATACTTCATTCGTTTCTCCACTTTCTCAGCTCCACCAATGACCAACATCACCAGCGAGCAATTGCTATAACCAAACCCCTCGGAAGTGTTTCCTCTCTATCACCAACAAAGACCTACCACCAAACCCTTCTCAAATCCATCCAAAAATGTGAAAATATCTACCCAAAATCCAGCAACTGATACAAGAACAATATGCCAAAGGCAATGAAATAGGGAGAAAAGATTCAATCATGCTCAAAAAGAGAGAATGTTAGAGTTTGCACCATCTCCACAACCGTCCAGCCCAAACCATCAAAGATCCACCACCACCTTAGTCAATTTGATATAAATTAGAAGAATTGGAAGAAACGTGACCTTTTTATGTATCACGATTGGACTCCCCCCCCCTTCAATGTAAAATGCAAAAAATAGGGTTCTGAAACAATGGTCAGGAATCTCAATATAATATTCATTAGAAATTACAAAAAATCTTGGGTATGTGAATCTCTATGATTATGGGGTTTGTCGGTGGTGATTTGCGGGTTATGGGTGGTTTGGCTTGTGGTGGATTTTGTGGAAAATGAGTTGAATTTGTGCAAAGATAATTTAGGAAGTGTGTTTTGAGGTGTTTTTGTGGGATTGTGAATATGAATGGATTTGGGGCTGTTTGTTTTTGTGGCTTTGGGTAGAATTGGTGTATAGGATTTGGGATAAAATTTCAATCCTGGGTTGCTAAACTTAGCGTGCAGCTGACCTAGATTTTAAACTCACCTAGATTTTAAACTCATGATCATAGATTTCATAAAAGCTAAGGGGTTGGGTTTGGAAAGATGGGTTAAAGGGGTTAAGGATTCAAAAATAATTGTACCTCCTTAATATGGATATGAATTAGATTAATCAAGGGACAAAATAGTTATTTACAAAATAAATTATTGTTAATAATTGTGAGTTTTATATATATATATATATATATATATATATATATGTTGCATACTAAATATGAGTATGAACTAGATTCAATGTTAAATATCATCTTTGTAAAAATGAGTTTGAAGAAACCAATTTAAATCCTCCCAAAAAATTCATCCAAACAAGCCCTCGGGGGATTGAGAGAGGGCTGACAGTATTGGTGAGTGATAGAGATGCTGGTTATGGGTGCATGAGAGAAGGAAAGGTAAAGAGAGAATGGGTCTGAGGTAAAAAGAGGGTATGGAAGTGAAATTAAGTTACTAAATAAGAGTATTTTGAAATTTTTATAAATTCTGTAACAGACTTCCTCTGTTACACTTACTTTATTTTTAAATTGATGGTGATTTAGTACAAAAGTTTAAAGTTAAGAGAGATGTCTGCAATTGACTCCTAAGTACAAGAGGTTTTTAGCATTTGACCCATTTTAATATTATTATTGGTCTTGCACATGATTATTCATGTGTTTAATATTGGAGTGAGATAGAGAATATATGAGATAAATTATAAGAAATTATATACAATTATACGTAGTTAATGTAAGAAAAGATAAGGGGTATTATAGTTATTTTAAATATGAATACCTCTTCTCATTTTATTAATATTATAGATTACTAAAATATTGAAGGGCATTTGTATAATTGGCCAAGAGGGTATTTTGTTATGAAATATAAGAGTTAGGGGGTCTACATGTTATTATTTTTCCAATGATACAAGGGACATATATACACCAGCACACCAAACCGTTCTCTTTAATAATCATAAATACACTATAGATTACGTACGGTGCATCGAGTATATTTACAATTAAAAGTAGTCATGCTCCTAATCATCGTGATATCTTTTATGTTTCAAAAAAATAACCTAACACCTAAGACAATTAGATTAACGTAAATAATGACAAATAGTATTTTACAAAATTATGTTCACTTATTTATGCTTGTATAACAACCAAAGTCAAACTCCCCCACTGAGCAAAAAGACCATCCCACAGGTGTTGGCACAATGGCACAACTTCAACAATATAGCGCACATACACTTACTCTAATTAACCTAAATCAAAGAGCAACCCAACCCTAAAAAAATTGGTGAGTTTAAAAAATATGTTAAAGTTTGGTTTGTATTTTACACGAGTCAATCTTGATCTTTATCACGTTGCAAAAGCTTTTTAGCCTCTTGTTTGGTTCTCGCTGGTCACAAAGAAGAGGAAAAAGGAAGACAAAGGAAAATAAAAAGTTTCATATATTGGTACGCTTTTTTAAGAGCTATTCCTCGCTTTGAAATTGTCAAAAAAATCAATATATTCTCTTTGCATTAACTAATAAGTAAGATTGACAATTATTAATACTGACATGTTAGTATAAAGTGAAATCTAAAACAAAATATCAAATATGGGTTCAATTCAAAATGAAATTACCAATAAAACCTATGTATTAAATGGATTGTATACCAATTAGACTAAGGATAAATTACACTTATACCTCTTGAACTATCACCATTTTTTTATTTTACTCCCTCAACTATCAGAATTCTCATATTGTACCCTCAACTATGTCATTAGTTTCACATTACCCCTATTTATTAACGTCTATTACATATTTAACAAAAAATTATTTTATTTTTCCCTTAAACTATGTAATTTTTTTTACTATACTCCAACACGTCAACTATTTCTGTCCAAAAAGATTTCAGATGTTTACAATTGGGGCAATGTAAAATAAAAGTATTAGTTAAGGATACAATGTGAAAAATCTGATAGGTAAAGGAGCAAAATGAAAAAAAAGAGTGATAGTTCAAGGGGGAAAGTGTAATTTACCCTTAGACTAATTTTGACAAGACGCATCCTAAAAGTCCAACACACAGACTCACATCCGGGGTAATGTCGCCCATACAACACATAAGATAATGGTCTTTACATTTTGCTCAGTGCTTGGGTTGGGTTAGAACAAGTTCGAGTTTGGGTTCATGGTTTGGGCCTATTGAATCCCATTGTAAATGATGGATTGTGAATAATTTTGGCCCCTTTAGTTTCATATGAAGTTATGAAAGAAGCCACATGGTAAAGCAAAGGTTTGGCTCTTTTCTATCGACCGGTACGAGTAATTCTTCACCAGAAAGAAGAAAGACCAAATGAATAAATCACAAAGCTCTCTTCTACTACCCAACTGAGATTCTTGTTGTAAGTCTAATTTATGTTTTTCTCATTTTTAGTTTCTTATTATACTTAAACTGAAGATTTGTATGCTTGTTCAAAAGCAAATGTTGCGTATGAATTATGTCCGTAAGAAGGTGTTTTGGCAATGATGTGGATTATATTGTTAATCTTTGTTCCTAATTGTTTTTTGAGATGGGTATTTTTTGTATTTCTCTTCTAGGGAAACCCCTTTCTTTGCACTGAATGAATTGATATTCGAGTGGGTTCGGTAATTTCGGGAGGAAATTTAGACTTGGTAAAAATTGTTGATCCAAAATGCTACATTGAGGTTGATGGCAAATGGAAAGAGGGGTGATGAACTATATAAAAAACAGGAATTTCATTTTACACATCAACAAACAAACGTGTCCCCTGTGGTTCAGTTTCCTTTATTCTGATTTCAAAAAAACTTTTAAGTTTCGTTGAATATGAATGTGAAAAATGACTGTTTAATGTCTGTTATGTGTTATACAAGCAGTAGTGGGATGTGAGATGAATGACATGTGGAGGGCTAACATTTCTCTTGAAAGCATTCTCGAGGAAACGAAAAGGGTAGTGATTCTATTGCTCAGAGGAAGCATGAGTGTTGTTATCCACAAGTGTCAATCATGATTCATCTTAGGCTTTAACACGTCACTAGTCTTAGTTTTCCACCTCTCTTTTAATGGATCAATCTTTTTTTACAAAAATAAAATTTGATAAATTCAAATTGTCAATATAATTCATCATAGTTAGATAGGCTGCTTTTGATCTTTCATGGAATTCATCGCACTGAAATTGCAGATGTTAATACTTCTAAGCACATAAAAGAATGAAAACACAGAGGAAAAGAAAAACCTAAGCCTCTATGAACTTCAAAATAGTATAGATTCTGTGGTGTTGATATGGGAAATAACCATCACTGTCCACAACCTTAAGCAGCTTTTTTGTCCTCTTTCTGATTGAAACACCATTGTGCAGCTTTTAGTGGTGGTGCAGAAATTTATAAGGCCATAGAAGTGATGGACAGAAACATATGTTTCACCTATTGCCAATTTACATCACATTTGCCTGATGCTGAAAGTTTTTGCTAGAGAAGTTACATACATTGTTGATGATTGTAATTCACGTGCTCCAGTGGTCTTCTTAAGTTTGAAGTTAGCTTAGAGGTGTTTGATTGCATTTTATCATCGGGCAGAGGACATATAACTACTAGCTGTTGTGATCAGGGGAAGCAGATTTGGCCACGATTTTCCCCATTACCAAGAGATTGCATGATCACCTTCATTGCACTGGTCCATCAGTTCCTTCCCCCTTCCTTCTCCTTTGGCATAGTATTTGTAACGGGAAAAAAGTCAGAATGCTTCCTTCACAGTTTTCCTTCAATTGAAACTTTTTTGGAGGTTTAAGAGGCTTCGGGGTTATTTGGGGTGTCCCCATTTGGATAAATGTGGTATTTATTTTTGAGAAAAAACTCTGTCAGCTTCACCAATGTTGCTCGCTCTGAAGTATTAACAAAGAAAATCATGGATTCAATCCGAGTAAGCAGATTTAGATTTTTTTAGAATGTGTGTATATGTATTGCATATTCCTCTTAATTTTCAGCACTGGGAACATTTAGTCAGTGTTTTTTCATCCACTGGAGTTTTAATTGTGGTTTGGACCATTATGTGGGCAAAGATTATTCAATCATATTACTACATCTTCAATTTCATCGTTATGAAACTGTATGATGTTGTTATCAACCATTCTTGGTAATTCTCACATTATAGTGTGAGTTTTGCTTGCAGATTCCCACATGGTAGTGGAACTAAGATGCCATCACCTGGTTATCCAACAAGTTTTGAACTTCCAACTCCTAGACATTCCAGATTAAGATTTCCTACTGTCCACCTTGCTGCTTGCCTTCACAAATCTGCATTTTCACTTGGAAAGAAGCTGTACTCGCAGTTGTGTTTCTTACACATAGACCAACCTCCTTTAGTCAATAATATTAAGTGAGTCACTTCTTCTGTCCTGATGGTTGTATTGATGCCTATTGCACTAGATACTTGTGGAGTTTAGTAGGAATGTAGGTGGAATTTCTACTTTATTTTTGATATGTACCAAAATTCATAGTGCTTCTTTGCAATGGGTTGATGGACTTACCGCGCGTTTAATCTGAAGCTTATGTTTCACACATATAGGAGGATGGCCTGGTCTATTAGAAGCAGTGCAGATGGAAACCGATTAAATTCAACTCCTGCAGGTAACCCCAGCAGTGGGACCCGACTTATTAGGGCCATCCAAGCTATTAGAAACAAATCAATTACAAGACTCAAGGAGTTGCAAAAAAATCTGCCTGTGAAATTACTATTTTTCTTGGTGGGGTTTTATTGTGCAACTGCCTTTGCCACTGTAATAGGGCAAACAGGTGACTGGGATGTTGTATCTGCTGCTTTAGCCATGGCTGTAGTGGAGGGGATTGGTGCTCTCATGTATGGAGGCTCTTTTCCTTTATCCAATAAGATGAGGGACCTAGTCACCATGTTTAATTATTGGAAGGCTGGCATCACACTTGGTCTTTTCCTGGATTCCTTCAAGTACTAACTTTCGTGGGATTATATAACCCCTTCTCTTTCCAACTGATGTGTTCCTTATGTTCTGGTACCACTTTGCTCTTGCAAATGTCATAGACTGATGATTTGTGGCCAAGGATCAGTAAGTGGGCATCATGACTTTCGGATCATTGGTGGGAGTAGCATGGTTACAAGCTGAAAGCAATCCAAGAATGACGGATGGCCCAAAAAGACTAGGCCAGGCAATTAGGAAAGCACTCGTGACTTTTGCTCATACACCCCTGGACAGAGTGGGCTGTTAAATTATTTGGTCAAATTTTTATGAACTTGACCACAGTTTCTTTGTTTTTCAGATTTATTGCAGCTCCACTGAAGTTTTAATATATCAGTTAGTGATGCCATGTTATGAGACATGGAAAAGCCTATGATGGATTCTGCTAGAGATAAACCAATATATCAAGTTCAAGCGGACTAATTTGCCAGGAGTATGTATTTTTTCCTTCGAAATATACCATTTAGATATATCTGTTCAATTGATGGTTAAACTATAATTAACATTTCCGTACCAACATGGAGTTGGCGGAGGGTCTGAGCCCGCCTGATGATGGAACTATGAAGAACAACTCAGGTTAGAACCATTTCTTCCCAGTAAGATTCTTGGTATCAGTAGTCCATTACTCTCTGCAACTAACAGGCTCGGGCAAGGTTTTCTATAGGATCTAAAAAGGAAGTCTCTTGATGCAATTGCATAATTGTATTTGTTGTTCAATTCTACTTCTGCACAATGTAGCTGTTGTAGGTGAAGAATTTTATCTTTTACAAATGCCCTTACTAAGCCTCACTTTTCTCACAGCAACTAGTTTCATGTATATAGGCTTTGGTGCACGATCTCGCGAATAGGGTATGAACCCTTGCAACTCCTTTCTCGAAGTCAAGTTCTGCCTTTTTGAGGATATTTTATAGTGCTTTAGAAAAATTGTAGGGTGGAGATAAAAGCCATAGGGGGAATGCTCACAAGAAGTTTTCTTTTCTGGGATATCACAAACGGCCTAGGTTTTCTTTTCCCATCTTATTATATCTTTGAATGTACACCTTTTTTTCCCACTAGTAAATCAAGAGTTCTCTTAACAAAAACTCACTATTTGGAGCGTCAAAAACAAATCAGCATCAGAACATTTACATGCATTTAAAAAGAAGAGAAAACCCACATCAAATATAACTCAGCCGACTGCATTTCACTATATAAAAGCCTTTATGCGACCTACATTATTTACAATGGTAAATAGTACTTGATACAATAGGCGTCGTTGCAATCAATTTCAGTAATAATCTGTTGGATCCTTAGATGAAATTTGTACACCTACTAATGAAGATTGGAAAACGTAAGCAGAGGCGGATATTCCTCTGTGATTGTAATCATGCATCGATGCCAGGACCTGGATATGCAGGGAGACTCATTATACGCTTGTCAAGAACTGGTCCTCCAGCCGTAAAATGGTAAAGGCTCTGGAAATTTGATCCTCTTAAACCAAACACCTCATGTACTGTCAAAGATCAAAGGATGTGTTACTTCTAGGCTGCAAAAAATCACTAACTGTAGAATCATGTATGTAAAATACAACCATTCTTACGATGATAATCCACGTAAAACCATAGAAGAATAAAATTACCTCTGCGTTCTATGGTAGTTATATTCTGTTTATCTATTTTTTAGACTAATCTGTTCAGATGATGCTGCTATACTAGTACACTTCGAGCATATGTAGTAGGTTGAGATTTTAGAAATCCATCTAAATTCTAGATTTGAAGGATAGTCAACGTAAATTTAAACTGTAGATAGAAATGAGGAGGCCATGTACCAGGATCATCAAAGAAACAACCAATTCCAGTAGCAGAGATGCCAACTGCGTGTGCTTCAAGGTACAAAACCTGGCCAAGAACTCCTGTTTCCCAAAATAACCGAGGATACATCCACGCACCCATGTCACGTAAGGTGGGCTCAAGATGAGCCACCATACCCAGGCTGAAGCATCCATCACTGGCAATATCCTGCATATTGATGACAACATTTTTAGCCAAAAGTTGGGGAAGTTTCCAAATTGGTTATTGTTGTTGAAAACCTATCCTTAAGAAAAAAATGTTTATTCAAAGCCGAGATCAAATTTTCCAAAAGATCATATTAGACCCCATCCTAAATTTAAACTCATGAAACACCATGATTCCAAGATTAAAATGCTACTCAAAAGAGGGATGCATGATTTAACAATTAGAACAATACAATTTATCACTTTATCATTTATGTTTAACGTCACTACTCTTGACAATCAATGTAGCAAAACCTGCCAATTTCTTGAAAAAATTTGCAATGCACTAAACATTTGAAAAAAATAGCTCAGAAAAATTCACATGATTGGCAATTTTTTGAAGATTCACATGATTGGACACGATTCAGCATTTCTTCAAAGCAAATTTTTTTTGCTCTGGTTCAAAACCTAAAACTAGAGAGGTAGCCAGGCATTATGTGCTTGTTCTATGCCTCCTCTTATTTTCCCCATGGCAGTGGTTATCCGATTTCTTCAGTTATTTCCATAGAGATGGTTACCTTTTCTGATACTCTCATCGTTGCAAACTGGCAGCAAATAAGATAAAGAGTCCATGACAGATCTAACAATTCCCTAATCCCTGGGATGTATTGAACAGATTCCAGTAGATTGTCTAAGTACTCAACCATGCCACATAAATCGCATACGATACTCAAGTCATTTCTCAAATAAATTGAAATTTACCCTATTAAACACACTGCCTTACCGGCTTACATAGACTTGTCCTTTTACACTAGTGAAAGAGGAAAGCAAGGATGTCTTTAGTCCAGCATCTAGTATCTCAAAAAGTTCAATTGAGTACCATTGGCAATATATAATTCAATCATGTCAGTTCTTCGTAAGACTATGAGATTAGACAAACAAAAGTATATGCCATACAAGTAAAACCAAGTCCATGTATCGTAAATTAGTATAGTAAAACTCAAAGGGAAAACTCACAAAAACATTAGCATACCTGATGGCAAGAAAGCCGTTTGGAAAGCTCACGACAATCACCTCTTGCCAGTTCATATAAAGGTAGATCATCAGGGCACCCTTCTGGTTTCTTCCACTTAAATTCAGACTTTGTAGCGTTCCTAAGATCATCAAAATGCTCCTCATTTCTCACCAAAAAATACAAACCCTTTGGCAACCCTACAACCCTGTGAACAAACAAAGCAGCATGCACCTCAGAATCCCAACAAAGAGCCCGAAATGGCAATGCCAATTCTCTTCCTTGCTTCTCTCTACTTCGAGACCCCGAAGGAAGACAATGCAATAGAATCTGATAAAATGTTTCCCTAGCCATTACAGTATGTCCATCCATATCAACCGCACTCCTTCGCTTCCTAACCACTTCCCTCAAACTTAAACCCTTATATGAACTTTCACTAAACAAACCACTGCTCTGAAATGGATCAAATTTGAACTTGTTCTGTACCATTAAAGGCTTGTTCACGGCCTCAGCTGTTCTATATATAATATCCCAACACACGTGCCCTTTACTGAGCACATTAGGCTTTCCCTTCCAATCTAATTCTGAAAACTTCGATATGGCTGAACTCAGTTCCTTATAATTCACATCAAATTCACCAACCCCATTAGGAAAAACAACAAGAAGACAATCCGGGTGCTCGAATTCAATCTGGGGAATTTTTCCTTTTATGGGTCTAGAGGGAATTTCAATCTCCGGAAAAATTTCAAGCCCCATGAGTTTCTTCAAATCTCCATAGCCCAATCCATCTAAAATTTTCACATCCCAACCAAGCCCCGCCGCGGCCATTGAAACCGCCGCAATGGCATGACCCACATCATGATTACAATACCTGAAGGCCCTTTCACCATATTTCCAAGCTTCGCGCCAAAAAATTGACGAAAACCCAATAATAAAAGAATTTTCTGGGAAAAAATTGGTTAAAAACCAAGATGGAATTTGGGTTCTGATTTCCAATGAATGCTCTTTCGGCGCATAATGAGCTACAAATGGGGAACTTGAGATTGATTCTACCGGTGGGGAAATTATGTAGGCTTCGGTTGGATGGAGATTGCCACTGCTAGGGTTTACACGGAGTGACCAAGTTGAGAACCCAGCAGTTTTCCAAGCTGATAAAGCGAGGGAATCGTAGAAAAGCTGAGAAACGGTGGATTTGGAGATGGGTTTTGGAGATGGGAGTGCGTTGAAGACCGAAGAGTAAAGAGGCGAGTCAGTTGTCGATGAAGGGTTCGGGTTAGAATTGTCTGTGGGAAGATGAAAAAGAGGGATGAGAGGGGCAGAGATATAGCGGCGGAATGGGTTGGGTTGGTTTGCCCAGTCAAGACCGTGAGGACCTTTGGCGTAGTTGGTGAATGAATGTTTGGTCTGGTTGTGGTATTTCAAGACTTGGGTCAGTAAGAGCTCCTTTAGATTGTCTGAGTCTTGTGGTGCAGAAAGTGATGGTGATGGTGATTGGGATTGGGATGGTGATGATGCAGAGAAGGACATGGTGAGGATTGGGACTATTTTCTTGGTGGTGGTAGAAGGGAGGAGGTGGTGATGGTGGCGGCTTGGAGAGAGAGAAAGTCCGTGATGAAAGAGAGGCATACTGAGGGGTTGTGCCTCGCTTGGTTCTTTATGTCTGAAGAATTTTTATATGCTTTGCTTCTCCTGGAACCCGGAGTGGGAAGTCTGGACCAAAGAGAAATGTGGAAAGTTCCACACATCCAGGACTCGGACCAGAACGACCCGGACCCGGGGATTCAAATCTCCTCTTCCGGATCTGTTATTGTTGGATCGGTCAGCCTGAATTATTGCGTTCACTATTTCTCTACTTCTTTCTTTTTGCGGTAGGTCCTAGGAATCCTCTAATTTCTAATCTCTTATTCCAAATTTTTATTTTCCCGATATTTCTAAAGTATCAGAATTTTTTTTAAGAAAATATTAGAAAATAAAATATTATTTAACATTCTCATCTTTAAACATCTTATTTCTCATTTTTTAATCTGGTGAAGTAGTGGGTGGAAGATATTTGTTAGGGTGAGGTAGAACCGTAAAGGTGGATTGAGGTGATTGATAACTTAATTCAATACTTAAAATTAAAAATATTTCGTATTTTATATTAAATGTGTTTGATAATCAAAATTGATACCATCTAAAAATTTAAGTATTTCTTAAAAATAGATCAAAATATTAAATAGCTATGTACCTATTTATCATTTAATTGTGAATAAGCGTTGTCAAACTTTCCATGATGAACCAATTTGTCATTAGATATTTCATTCTCAATCAATCTTATGCCCCAACTTTCTACCTCCACAACCCCACCTTATAACTAGTACTACCATCTTGTTACTACCATTACCATGTCTACCTCACCGTCGTCGCATCACTACAATCAATACCAACCAACCAATATCACCCTACAAACACCACCACCGCCACTTATCACCCACAAACACCACAACAGCTACCCATCATTGTCACTATTTGATCCATTGTGTGTACATTCAGAGATGAATAAAATTGTTTCTTACCCTTATTTTTCAGGGTATCCCACCACAAACAAGCACCACCTCGTTGTTGCCACAACCACTCCCTACCCCATCATTGTCATCGTTATCTCTCATTACTAGCTCATCATTGTTGTTACCATTGCAATACAACTACAAACTTTGCCACCATCACCACAAACTCACCCCCATTCCATTACAGCAACTGACCCATTCCACCATCACCACCTAATTGTTTTTGTCACCAACTTTGCCTTTATCACCACCTCCATTAGAGTGACCACTACTACCCTACCATGACCACCATAGCAGTGGCGATGGTGATGGTGGCTAAAGGTAATGTTTGGTTGGCAATGACATGAAAAGATGGCATTAGCGGGTGGAGTGAGTGGGAATTGTGGCAACGACAGTGATAATGACAACATTGACATTGATATGATTGAGGAGACAGTGGTAACGATGGTGGTAGAGGGATAATGGTGATAGTGGACCAGTGGTGCTGGTAAGGTGGTGGAGGAGGGAGTAATGATGGTAGAGTAGTAGTGGTGGTGGAAGGATGCCAAATTAAAATCAAAGATCAAATTAAAAATAAAAATAAAGCAAGAACCAATCATGATATTCACTATAATTTCTTTATGCCCAACCATTATTTAAAAAAAAGGGATAATGGTGAGAGGAAGAAGAATAAGATGTATTTTTTCACATTCACCTGGTTTGTGATAATTTGGTGGTTGGCAAAAATTAGACCACCAAACGAAGACCAATCACGGTAAGGGTGTGTGGATGAAAGGGATATATTAATTAGAAGTGGGTGTAGTGAAGTTTCAGGTGATATATAAGGTGTCTTTGGAATTAGAACAATCTACAAGGGCGTAGATGAAAATTTTTCTTTAATAATTCTATAATTTTTGTTAAAAAACAAGGAAAATTTGTGGGGGAGTACATTTTTTTGAAAATATTCCTGGAAAAGTTCATTGCCCAAACTTTTAAGTTAGTAAGTATATTTTCTATAAAACATTTGGTGGATAAGTACATAATTTCAAATTTTCATATTTTAGTAGTACCTAAATGTCCTTGCTTATTTTATGAAATATATAGTAGTTTCCTTTTTTTTTATTCTAATGTTATTGAATGAGTGGTTTCCTATTTTAATGGGCAATTAAGCATTTGAATTTTAAAAAGATTACAAATTTTTTGGCAATTAATATTTTTGCTTTTTCATATCTTCGTTTTTCATATTTATGTTTTTCATACAACAACCGATAAGCATTATCAGTCTTCTACAAGAGGGGTCATCAATTTTCTAGTATTTCCTCAAGTTAGGTTCTTTTTTTTTTTTCATGTTTTTTAATTTCACAATCAGTTGGTGTCATTCATGTTCATATAATTATTTCAATTACCATTTGTTAAACTTCTTTGATTTGAAGACTAAACTTTACCCAGCAAAAACATAGTTTGACTTTTTTTTTATTATTCAAAGGGATTATGTATATGAATGTAGTTGCGAATTTTTTCACTTAATAATTTATTGTTATAGGAATTGCATATAGTGTTTATTTGTCATATTCATGTCATGGGGTTTCGTACTGTGTTGATTGATTTCTTATTCTTTCCTGTGAAAACAATGACATGAAGAACAATGGGGGATACTGTAATGACGGTATGCAGACTTGGTAGTGAGACATCAGTCCTCATATTTTATGTGGGTTTAACGTTAGATGACGTTGTGTGTGTGGGATCCGTGACACATGGGATTGTTTGACAAATATTGTTATTGTGCTGTCATACTCTATCCCTGGGCATCAGAATTACATTTTGCGCAATGATATAGATATGAAGAACATGTTTGATTTGGCGAGATGTATCGCAGTTAAGTATGTTGATATGAATGTTTTTGTGCGAGATGACGAGTCACGTGTTGTTGATGATATTGATTTTATTGAAGATGTCGAATTACATGATATTGAATTTGATTCAGATGAAAACTTGCTTCCTCGGTTTAGTTCGCATAATGAGAAAGTTTTACCCTTTTCTGGTTGGGTAAATGAAATTTGGTATGTGGGACAAAAGTTCGAAGGTGGTGTGTCACAATTTTCATAATGCTCTTTGCAAATGCTCAATTGAAGTTGGATTTGAATTTAATTACGTTAAGAATTGTAAAGAGAGGGTTATCGCCGAGTGTGCTTCAAAGTATTCCACTGGATGTGGGTGGCATATTAATGCAACTCACTAGGAGGTAAATGATTTTTTCTACAAAAAAAAATTGCATAACGAAACACACATGTGGGGTTGCTCTACGTACAGTACAAAATAAGCGGCTCAGTTCTAATATGATTGCGGAATCGATTGTTGATCACGTTTGTGAAAGAGGTCTACTCGGCCCGTTGAAGTTGTTAATGATTTTAATTCGGACTATGGTCTAACAATATCTTATGATCGAGCATGAATGACTATTGAAAAGGCAAGAGAAATGCTTTTTGGTAATCATAATTTATCGTACCAACAATTACGTTAGTATGTTGATGATGCGAATAATACCAACGCTTGCAACCATTTAGTTTTAGATTGTGAGCAGGAGTCTAATCGTTTTCAGAAGTTATTCCTGTCATTTAAGTCATGCATCGATGGTTTTAATTATTATCATCCATTATTATTTGTTGATGAAATTTTGTTGAAAGGTAGATATAGAGTAAATATTCTTTCTACAATTAGAAAAGATGGAAACCAAGGTACAATTATTTTTTTGGAAAATAACAATTCAATCCAGATTTAGTGTTACTGTTTTTTGTTTTTTGTTTCTTGTTACTCTTTGTTGTCACTGTTTTGTTTATTTTGACGGTTTAAGCTGAATTACAAATTATTATATTATATGTTGCAGGTTTATTCCCACTAGTTTTTGTGGTGGTTGATTCTAATAATGAGTCAAATTGGCTATGATTTTTACAATAGCTTAACTAGATTGTGGATCATATGCAGGAGATTACGTTCGTTTCTGATCAGAACGTTTGCATATCGGAGGCTATGCCAAATTTTTTTCCTAATGCTCATCATGATTTTTACAGGCAAATTTGAGGGACAAATTTAGTGATGTTTTTTTTTCTAATACATTCAAGAAGCACAAATATTTGCTATGTGAATGTGGTTATGCACCAACAATACCTTTATTCAATGACAATATTAGTTCTTTAAAGCGTGAAGGTAGCCCTAATGTTGACAAGTTTCTAGAAAATCTCTCATATGAATATTGGGTCAATGCTCATTTCCGAGGTAATCATTATGATGAAATGTTGTCTAATGCAGCCATGTCTTTTAATGATTGGATTACAAAAACACGACATCTATCGATTACTAACATGATTGACACTATAAGGGGACAACTTATGAATCTGATGGGTGGTAGTATGAAGACATCGTCAAATTGGAATGGTAATTTATGTCCAAATATGAATGCAAAATTATAGACTGCATTTTATGAAGGAAGGTCTTAGTCTGTACATATTTCAAAATAATGATGTGTACAAAGTGAATTCATACCTTTAGGTATCTGTTGACATTCTAAATGACACGTGCACATGTCATCAGTGGCAGATTAATGGGTTCTCTTGTACACAGGTGGTATCTGTCATACGAAAGAGTGGCCGGAGCATAAATGTTTTTGTTTATTATTACTATCATGTGATCACTTACAGGAAGTTGTATGTTTCTTCCCAATCCCTACACTTGGTCGTCTAGATTTTTTAGTTGAAGATGTTGATATATTACCACCATCGATAAAAAAAATAGCCTGGGCGACCAATGAAGTGAAGAATAAGATCAAGGGGTGAACTCATTAGACATATTCATTGTGGTCGTTTTGGTAGTCACAACAAGAAAATATGTAATGAACCATTATAATTGGTCAACCGTTAAAACTTGACATTAGTCATTCGTTTAATTTAATTTGAATTATTGTTATTCATATTTTATGGTATAATGATTATCAATTTGATATGTAGTTTGTAATGTTAATTACTAGGCATTAAAATTTCTTACTCTAACTTGTAACCGTGTTTATATATATTGTAATCCAATTTTTTTGTACACATAGGAAGTCCTGCATGAAAGAAATATGGTATCATAGTACGATTATATTTTTTTG